GATACCTTATCTACGCATAACTGTTCCCCGGAAAACCGTGTGGACGATCTGTTACGATCGGAAGTGCTTCAGGCGTTTGATCGTGCTACGTTTGAGCGCGATGGATATTGGGTGTGGGAAGGGATACTGACGGACGCTGCCCGTAAACGGTGGACAGCCAGCTTGCAGAAGTTACAGCAGATGAACGATGCGATCCTCATGGATACGGAGTGGAGTGCTATCGACTTTGAGGCGCGGGGATTTCCTCCGCCTTTGCCGGAACAAATCACACCGGAGTTTTTGGCAGCGTGCTGTGGAGGTTCAGAGCAAATGCCGGGTTCCTCAGAACCGCTGAGTTGCGTCGATATATGCACACCTACGGGCTATTCGGACCGGGAGCCGCGTTGGTCACACATGGATTCGAGTCGCAAGGCGTTATGCCGGAATACTTCCCTGCCGGATATGACGACTTTATCATGGATGATGACCAGTGCTCACCCGCAAATGATGGCACTATTCACGAAACTTTTCGGGGACCGATTCACACTTGACCACTGTTTTATGCTCAACCGGGCGATCGGTTCAAAAGGGCGTCGATGGCATGCACATCAGTATCGGGATGGGCAGTACGAAGTTGAGGACCCCATTGGGACTGGAAACGCCCTTACCACTGAATTTCTAAAACGACAGTGTATTCGGACGCTGTGCTATCCAGAAGGGGCAACCATCGAAGATGGTGGAGAACTTGCAATTATTCCTGGAGCGCATCTCTATCGCATTCCGTACAAATGGAGTACAGAACGACCCGATGATGACGCTGCCATGAAAGCAGGGTGGTTGAAGGGTAAGATCCACGCCTTTACAAGGAAACCATTAGAAATTGTACACCTCTCACTACCGCCCGGAAGCATGGTGTCCTTTGTCCATCATATGCCGCATTATGTTGGTTATCGAAAGCCGGGGACGACAACTCGGTGGGGACTCCTTATGGCGTATCGAACGCCCGACCCGGATGCAGAACCGGAAAAGTGGACAAATGGTATTCCCACCCATTGGGTGGAACAGACCGCGGACCAAGGAAAACTGTCTGCTGCGGCGCAGCGTGTGTTTGAGGCTGATAACCCCATCCACAGGCATCTACAGAACTGAATCATTTGGCGATATATGCAAGCGTACAATCTCAGCGACGGGTCGTTGGAGCCGAATAATTTAGCATAAAAATCCTGTGAGAACGTACCGGTCATAATGTCCAAGTCATGCTAAAATTTACCATAAAATCACCGACTGTTGCCCAACATTCCTGACCAGATGGCGTGTTGCAAATCACCCCTCTCTACCTTCTTCGTGATGGTGACATCAATAGTATCCGCCTCCAACGGTGGCTTCTTAGTCGCGTCTCCTCTTAATGTGACGGGTAGGATAATCTCTTCATCCTCTCTTTCAAGAGTCAACTCCACTACGTCACCGGATTTCCAATCTTTGGCAACCCTTCTGATGTCGTCAAACGATTTCACCGGTGTGCCGTTGATGCCTATCAACTGGTCGTTATCTTGATACTGAGGCGAACTGTCGATGAACATGCCTCCACCTGGGGGTCCCCCGATTCCACAATACCGAGCATTTCATGCACGATATAACCAATACGAGGCAGTCTTTCGCCAAATTCTATCTCAACATCCACACCTGCATCCTTAAGGTATTCCTCTAAGGGCAATTGTTCCGTCCCTGTCACATATTTGCGGAAGAACGGTTTAAAATCCTCACCCGTCATTCGACTCACAATTCTGATGACATCGTTCATTGTATAAGGGACACCGGTGAGACCAAATTCCGATACATCTGTTCCATCACATCGTCTAAACTGCTTCGGTTCTCCGTCCGTGAGCGAATCTGCAAGTCCAAAGCCGCAGCAATAAGACTCCCACCGTCATAGACGAGTTCGCGGTTGGCGGATTTGTCTTCCCCTGCTTCGTGGATAGAAAGCTCACCCTGTCGAGATAGATACGCCTCCCACGTCCGTTCAAGATTTCTGAGAAAATCGGTCTCAGAAGCAAGACCAAGGCGGACAGAGACAACCTCTGAATAGTATTGGGTAAAACCAGCACAAAACCAGTATTCTTGTTCCTTAAAACTGATGGCACCTGTTCCATCCCGGATATCAATATAACTTCCATTCCAGAGATAGCCAACGAGGCGCGCCACCACGGGTAACCAAAAACCTCTACTGGCTTCATCTAAGGTGTCACCTATCAGAATACTGATGCTACGTCGGGAGACACCACCGCTCCTGTATCCTTTTTTGCCATAAGGGTTCGCGACAAATAGCAGCTGATCTTTCGGAATGCCATCAAAAATCCCTGAATATGCGTGAAGAAGTGTGGCAACAGTCCGCTCCATTTCATCCATAGCCCCCTTAAAGCGTCCGCCAAGAGCAAGCACAATCTTGGTTTCCGCTCCAATTTTTACCAGACGTTCAGAATGTTCGCCAAGCACAAGATACGCATACATCAGGTCTTTCTGATTTTTGCAAACAAACCAGTGCCCGCTGGATTCACTCCGTTCCCAAGGTACTGAGACAGACCAATTATCAGGCACATCAACACACAGTTCAACATCGTCTACTTCACCGACAATAAACAGCGCATATCCGGGCCAGAAAACACAGTCATCCTGAGCATAAGGGGCTTCGTCTCTGCCCCAATGCCATTCCCGCTCATCATGATTTAGTAGGGCTTTGTAGTGCAGCGTTACAGGCGATTCATCTCGGGTTTCAACCGCCCACTGCGTTTTGTCAATCTCTTCAACGATCAGTGCCTTCCCATTCGCATCGGTAACAGTCAGGTCCTGCAGATAATGTCCATATCCATCGTCCAGCCATTCAGTTCCAAAACGGCTCATGGATAACAGCAACGGCTTCCGATCCGCTTTTGTGTCGCTGCTTGCCTTCGGCGTTAGCACACATTCGACAGTCGCCAGACGCGGATTATCAGCATCAATCTTAACCTCATACCTTGCCGATGCAAGTTCCATCGGGTTATCAAGATGCTCGGACTGACGGAAATTCCTGATGACGCGCCACTCCTCAATAACTGCTTCGTCGCGATAGGTGTTATGCCATTTGTATGTCCACTGCGTGCCTATCTGTGCGGGGAAATATTCCTCGTCCTGAAGCGGAATTTCATACTTAATCAATTCGGCTTCCGTGACAACACCATTAGCGTGCTCATAGCGCATCTTCACGAGCCCAACACCCTTCGCGAACCACAGATAACGCGTGCCGTTTACAAGCGCGTTTCGCAATTCAGCATCGGCATCTTCAACGTCAGCATTTGTGAAAACAGTTTTATGCTTCAGGCACGTCGAGAAAGTGCCTGCGGATACACTTACCGTTTCATAATCCTCCAAAGTTGCCGTCGCATGTGATTTCCAAGCACCTTCCTGCTCCCAAGAACTGCCGACAACCACAGGAAACCTAAACATGTCAATCCCACCGTGGTTAAGATAGTGCAGCAACATGTACATAGGCGATGGATCCCCATCACCACGTCCTCTTGTGTGAAAGCCAGAAGATGTGAAAACCTTATCGGTTTGGATGAAGTCGAAACCGCCTTCTGCTAAATGTTTTCCGGTTTCTGTTGCTGCAGTCGCTTGAAAGTCAACGCAGCGTGGTTCGCTTTTTAATATATTTGTGCCTAAGGTTTCGCGAAGCATCGATTCCTCCGTCTCTAAGCGTTTCCGAGCGCGGTACAGCCGACTCTTTACCGTGTTCAGCGATACATCCAAAAACGCGCTCACCTCTTCACACGTCAAACCTTTGTAATAATGCAATACCATCACAGAACGTTCATTGACTGGCAGTTTTTGGAGGAGACGTTCCACGATTTCACGCAGTCCATCTGTTGACGCTTGTGCCTGTTCTTCCTCAAGATATCGCGCATAGGACAACCTCTCTAATTCGGCTTTCGGCATCGCATCCAGTGACTGCATCGCAATCGGTTTCCGCCGCAGCCACTCAATACACTGACGCTTCGCTATTACATGTAACCACCCTGAAAAACGATTCGGGTCACTCAAACTTGGAAGCGACTTAAAAGCCTGAATGAAGGTATCCTGCGTAATCTCTTGTGCGGCATGAAAATCACCGATCTCACGCCACGCGAGCGAATGAATCCATTTCCGGTGCTTTTCGACCAGCGTCGTGAACGCACTTTCATCACCTGACAAGATGCGTTGAATCAGATCGACATCTTCGTTTTTCACGCATTACCCTCCAAAATCATCTGATAGCAGTTTCGGAGACCTACAAGCTTCGCCGAAATGCCTTGTGACGCTAGTCCTCGTATATTAACAGAGAAGGTGGCATAGGCATTTAGGCAAACATGTGTGTGAAGGAAACGGAAGGATACAGCATCACAAAACACTGACAGAGATAAAAAATAGAGTAAAACCTACAATTATGTGAGTTCGACTCAAGGATTTAGAGGACCCCGACACGATATATCATGTCTATCACAGATTTGCTGACGGATGTGGTACGTACTCCAGCGGAGTGCTATTGCTTCGCAGTGAGAATAGAAAACAGGATGTCCAAATTCTCGCACTTTCTTCGGCTTGCTATGTGTGGTGAAAGAATATACCCGCTCGCATGAGTGTTACGTATTTAATAGGTAATTTTCTGAACGGCTATAATACAAAGAGCACGAAAAAGACAAAGCAAAACCGTTTGTAGTAGTGCGATTCATCGCACTCGTGTCGTCCAAGATTACCCAATTATTTGTAATCTTATCTGGAGCGCGTTTAGATTACCTGCTGCTATAGACATATTGCTCCTCTGGAGCAAGGTATGGATTTTGGATATGTGTTGGGTTGACACGCGCTCAGCCTAGGAACCCCATAGCGGTTGGCGTATAGAGTCTACATCTACCTGGATTTTTATCACCGAACTCACGTTACAATTAACAATATACCGCGAGCTGGCGAGGTTGGGAAACCCCGCCAGCGAAACTGGAATGCTTATGCTTCTAATAATCAGCGATGGAGCCATCCGCTAATCTACTATCGGGCCAGGTGAAACGCCTTCCTGCTTCCTGCCCGACTTCAATAACCTTTGCTTCATCAACGGTAACGCCTAAGCCAGGTCCTTCTGGAAGTGAAACGTAACCTTCTTCGTCCATCTCCCACGTCTTGTGGGCAACACCGTCTGGAAGGACGTTCTCATAGCCCTCGTGGATGAGGAAAAACGGCACAGCAGCGGATAAGTGAAAACTCGCGGTGAGACCGAGGTAAGACATCGTGCAATGCGGCGCAATCGGGACGTGATGCGCTTCGGCGAGTGCTGCGACCTTTTTGACCTGCGTGATACCGCCGCCGTGTCCACAATCGGGTTGAAGGATGTCAATCACTTGCGCTTCGAGGATTTCGCGAACCTCCCATATTGTGCGGTCGCGCTCTCCGGTGGCGAGCGGTACAGGACGGATTCCCGGATTTTGCGCATCACTTCAATATTGCCCGGAACCCATGCCTCCTCTAAAAAGAGGAGATCGTCTGGCTGCAGATAACTCGCGAATTGTTTGACAATAGGCGGCGGTAGGCAGCTATGCGCATCGAACATCACAGCACCATCGGAACCGACCTTCTCCCGGCATCCCGCACGCGCTGAACGAGATCCGCGATCTCATCGGGGGTGCCAGCAAACGGCTGAGAGCCTCCAGGTCCCGTCTTAATCGCTTTCGGACTCGGATACTTCCAAATCTTATCGCGGCAGGGACCACCGAGTAAGCGATAGACGGGTACGCCCCAGAGTTTCCCCGCTATATCCCACAACGCCATATCAATCGCAGAGATGGTATGTACCATCAACCCGCCGCCCCGGATGTTGCGGTGTGCCCGAAACAACCGTTGCCAGTGATGCTCAATGCGTGTTGGATTTTCCCCGATAATCAGTTCCGACAAGGAGCGCGCCAACGCACAGGTGACGGTCGTCTCCATATTGTTAATCTCGCCCCACCCCGTAACACCCATGTTCGTCTCAATCTTGACGTAGGCTTTCACGCCCATCGGAAAAGCCTCAAGGTTTGTTATCCGTATTTGAGACCCTTTATCTTCATAGTCTGCCATACAAGAACTCCCTTTCGTTTTTCCACAGTTTTTCACACTTTCGGAAGTTTGTCAAGATCCAAGTTTTTTAGCTATCAAGTTGCTGGACACCGTTCCCCTGTAATCGGGGTTAAAAATCCCTCCGACAGTGGTTTTCGGTTAAGCCCAAACGCTTCTCTTATAGTAAATCCACAATTACTTGGACATCACGGACGGGCGAGGTTACAAACCTCACCAGCGGTGGAGTGAGGTTGGTGCATCCTGAGATGTCTACATATTTTCGGGCTTTACTATAAAATTCTAAGGTTTGGACAATTTATGTCGGTTGGACGTTGCGTTTTCCAGTATTTTTGTGTTTTTCTACGGGTTTGGTGTTTCGAGGTAACTTGGAAAAAACATATTTACGTTCGATACACGTCAATATAAACATAGCACTCCGCTGGAGTGCGTTTCCATCTGTATCTTCTTTCTATAGACATACCACCCCTCCGGGGTGAGGACTCGCCTTGCGGGTGGCAGGGTTCTCCCTATTCAGGGTGTCTTGCAAACACAGATGAGGCTTCTCTTTGCTCCAGCGGAGCAATATGTCTATAGTCGAGAAGTGTAGCAACCCCGCACTCCAGCGGAGTGCTATGTCTGAAAAATTGTCCAAAGTTTAGTATAAAATTGACCAGAGTGCTTAGTCTGAAACGAAGTGGAAGGCGGATATACGGAAAGGAACGTCAAAGCCCAAACCCATGTGCCTTAACCGCAAGGAAAATTAGAAAATTGTTGACTGAAAGCACAAAAATTGATAGAATCGTTGCCAATATAGAAGGAGGCTAAAAAGATGGCGAATCAAACATATCGAATTGGAATCATTGGCTGCGGCGGAATGGGTAGGTCCCATTCCAGAGCATGGACCGCATATCCGAGGGCAGAAGTCGTAGCCGCGATGGACATCCACGAAGAGGCAGCAAAACGCGTCTCGGACGAATACGATGTCCCCGCTATCTATACCGACGTTGATGAAATGTTGGCAAAAGAGGATTTAGACATCGTCAGTATCACGACATGGCAGGGACCGCGGGGAGAAGCGACCGTTGCCGCGGCGAAAGCAGGTGTGAAAGGCATTTTCGGCGAGAAACCGATGGCGGCTTCACTTGGACAAGCCGACGCTATGATCGCTGCCTGTGAAGAGAACGATGTCAAACTTATCATCGGACACCAAGGTAGATACGCGCCGGCAAACATAGAGACCCGCAGGCTTGTCGCTGCAGGAGCGATTGGTGAACCCACAACTGTCCACCACAGCGCGAAAAAGCACGCGGGACTGCTGAACACAGGGACGCACGCAATTGATGGTTGGCGCTTCATGCTGTCCGACCCTGAAACACTCTGGGTGATTGGACAGACCGCTCGCACGACCGATCGGTGGGAACGCCGCACAATTTGTGAGGACCTCTGTATGGGCTTAGTCTGCTTTGAAGGCGGGCGCACGCGGTATTACGAAGGCGATCTACCGGAACCGTCAGTTTCAATGCCCAACATCGCCGGAACAGAGGGACAAATTCGTAACGGACCTGACGGCACACTTCTGCTCCAAAACGGGGACGCGAAGGGATGGCAAACCATTACGCCACCCCCACAAACCAAAAATCAGTACGATGAATTCATCGAGTGGATCGAGGGTGACATTCCTGACCATCGCGGCAGTGGCGTCCAAGCACGCTATACACTTGAAATCATGATGGCTATTTATGAGTCTTTGCGCATCAAGAATATCGTCCACATGCCGATGGAAACCAAAGAATTGCCTCTTGAACTCATGGTTAACGATGGTACACTACCGGTCTTAGAAGAAGGACGTTATGACCTGCGTGCACCGTTTGAAGGGCAAACTCGGAAAAGCTAACCCGGGACTTTGTAGCGAAATTTTCTGCCACAGATCCGGGAAAAGTTTCTGGCAACGGAAGGAAAAAGGATGGAGAAAAAGGGAAGACGCTCATTTTTAGTCTTTTCTATAAATTGGGCAACAGCATTCATCGGTGGGATACTGAGCCTCGCAACGGGCATTCCACTCATCGGCTTTGCTATCTCACCCGCCTTTAAAAAGGTGGAGTCGAAATGGGTTGATTTGGGCCTCGCCGACCGGCTCAAAAACAGCCGCTTTAAAAAAGTAGACTATACCTTCACAGCGAAGGACGGTTGGGTAAAAGCGACGAAAAAACGTTCTGTCTATATAACCGATGTCGGTAACGGGGAATGGACCGTCTTTTCACGAACCTGTTCACACCTCGGTTGCCTCGTCCGATGGGATGAAAAGAAGGAATCTTTCCTCTGTCCGTGCCACGGTGCGGTGTTCGACAAGAACGGAATTGTTGTTGCCGGACCGCCGCCACGTCCGTTGCAGAAACTACAAACGAAAGTCGAAGCCGGCATTTTGTACGTAAAGGAGACGTAGATGAGGGAATTTCTCAACGAACGTCTCCCCTTAACGGCGTTCTCCGCGCATTTACGTAAACCTTTACCGAAACATATCAATCTGCTTTTCTCACTGGGCAGTTTGGCGATGTTTCTGCTTCTACTTCAGGCGGCTACGGGGGCATTTCTGGCGTTATACTATTCGCCTTCGCCAGAGCATGCCCATAACGCCGCGTAACGTATATCAGCAAAGAGGTGCCGTTTGGGTCATTCGTGCGCGGTTTGCACCATTGGGGCGCGAGCGCGATGGTCATCATTGTCTTTCTGCATCTGCTCCGCGTCGTGATTTATAGTTCATACAAAGCTCCCCGTGAACTGACATGGATAGCGGCGTTCTCCTGCTGCTGGTCGTACTCGGCTTCGGGTTCACGGGTTACCTCCTCCCGTGGGATGAAAAGGCGTATTGGGGGACGGTCGTCGGTGTCGAAATCGCCAGCACTGCTCCTGTACTCGGCGATTTTGTAGCGAAGGTCATGCGCGGTGGAACAGAGATAGGCACCGTGACACTGGTACGGTTTTATGCGCTCCACACGATCTGGTTGCCTTGGCTGGCTTTCGGTTTGGTCGGTGTGCACCTCTTCTTCGTCCGCTACTACGGTTCTTCAGGCACCCCACAGAACACCCCAGAAGAGATGCCTTCTCATCTGTGGAGGGGGGGAAACCGTTCTATCCGGATCAGGTATTTGAAGACGTTGTCGGCATGCTAATCCTCTTTGTAATACTGGCAGCTGTTGCGCTGTTTGTGCCCGTCCCACTCGACGATGTCGCCGATCCGACGAATGCGAGTTACGATCCCCGACCGGAATGGTATTTCCTATTCCTGTTTCAACTGCTGAAGTACTTCCAAGGTCCCCTCGAAATCGTTGGAACGTTTGTCATTCCGACGGTTGGCATATTGCTTTTGCTCTTCCTCCCGTTCTTAGATAGAAGTGCGCGTGCTGTCCTCTGGAAACGACCCGTTGCATTGACGGTCACGACTGTCTGTGTTGCGGCGATTGCGGGGTTAACTTTCCTTGGCGTAAGTTCACCGAAACTCGAAACAGAGGAAACACCGCAACCGACAGAACAAACCCAAAGCACTGCCCCCTCGGATACAGAAACGGGAGAAGTCGAAGAAGGGGAGGAAGCCTTTGATTTTCAACTAACGGAAGAAGAAATTGAAGGAACGGAAGAAGGGGAAGAGGTTTTTGATTTCCAGTTAACTGAGGAAGAATTACAATAGGGTGTTTCACAGCAGGCTATGAAAACTGCAATCTGAAAACACAATTAGGGATCGGTAGTTGAATGCTATAGAGGAGCCGTATTCCTGCAGATTTTGAGGAAGGATGCTATCTATCAAGCATCTGCTGAGCGGTGCGGATCTCCTCTTCAAGATAAGGGGTCCCCTCAGCACGTTTTAAGAAAATCTCCAGATAACGACGCATCATGAGCGGATCGCCATTTTTCTGATACGCGTTTGCAAGATGATAGTAAGCTTCCGCATCGCTGTCATCAAGGGATAAGCCTTTTTCGTAGAATTGAATAGCACGAAGAAATTCCCCGCTTTTCTCGTAAGCGAGACCGAGGTTAAAATAGGTATCAGCGTCCCCCTCTTCTATTTCAAGGGCAGCCTCGTAATTCTGAATAGCATCCTGATACATTTCGCGGTGGAGGTAGACGTTTGCCATGTTGTAATAGGCATCGGCAAAAGTTGGCTCCGACTCAATGGCGTTCTGAAAGGCGGCAAGAGCCTCCTCAAACTGGTCTGTCATGTCGTAAGCATAGCCGAGATTGTTGTAGAAGGCAGGGTTTCCCGGTGATAACTCAAGCGCAGCGAGGAACATCTCAATCGCAAGTGCGAACATACCGATATCGGTGTAAACCAAACCGAGGTTGTTATAGGCGTGATGGTGCTCGTCATCGAGTGCGATGGCGTTTTGGAAAGACTCTATCGCGTTCTCATACTCACCCAATTCACGATAGGTTTTGCCGAGTTGAATATGCCCTTCCGGATCTGTCGGATTGAGTGCCTGTCCCATTCTGAGCTGTAACACATCGCGTTGAAGCTCCCGCTTCTGTTGCTGTGTCTGATCAGCAAAATTACAACCGTTCAACAAAAGAATAGCGATGAGGAGAATATAATGATTATTGATACGCATACACATTTTTATGACCCTACACGTCCCGAAGGCGTACCGTGGCCGAATCCAGATGATGACGTGCTTTACCGAAAGGTTATGCCAGAAGACTACAAAGCACTCGCAGTCCCCGAAGGCACGACAGGCACTGTCGTCGTCGAGGCGAGCAAATGGCTTGAGGACAATCAGTGGATTCTGGACCTCGCCGCAGATGAGCCTTTCATTGTAGGGTTTGTCGGGCACTTAGAACCCGACGACGCGAACTTTGAAGGGTCTTTAGCAAGATTCTCTGCGAATCCACTCTTTCGCGGAATACGCCTCGGTGGCGGACACTTACGCGCAATCAGTGACAACACGTTCTTAGCCAATATTGAAAAGTTGGCAGCGAAAGCACTCACCTTGGATCTCCTGATTAACCCTGAAATGTTATCAACGCTGCCAACCTTGGTTGAACATACACCAGAGATGCACATCGTCATCAACCACATCGCAGGCGTGCGAATATCAGAACAGCCACCCGATCCGAGTTGGGTTTCCGCAATCCACGAAGTGGCTCGCTACCCAAACATCTATTGCAAAGTATCTGGACTCGCAGAACACACAGGACAAATCCCCGCACCGACGGATGTCGATTATTACACCCCAACGATAGATGTTTTATGGGATGCGTTTGGCGAAGATAGACTCATCTACGGGAGCAATTGGCCCGTATCTGAACGCTTCGCACCCTACAAAGTCGTGCAACAGATTGTGAACGACTACTTCAGTGCGAAAGGCGAGGCAGTCAAGGCGAAGTTCTTCTGGCAGAATGCCAAGGCAGCGTATCAACTCAAATAGTTATCAGTTATCAGTTGTCAGTCAGTAGGCACTATGGTGGTTGGGTTCTGTTCGCATGCCACATACTGCTCTTGTCTGATAACCGCTAACCGATCACTATTAAACCACGCGATTAACTGAAAACTGATAACTGAAAGTGAGGGTAGCGAACGTACTGATAACTACTAAGCTACCCAGCGGATAAACTCGCCTGCAGGTTGTCGTTTCGGCTCGCTGATGTCGGCGGGATAACCGGTGTAGAAGAAGCCGATGATGTACTCTTGTGACGCATCAATTCCGAGCAACTGATAGGTCGGCTCTTCCATTGTAATTCTGCCGGTGCTCCACTGCATACCGACCCCAGTATCCCAGGCAGCGAGTTGGACGTTCTGCATAGCACAACAAGCAGCGGCGTAATCTTCCCGTCGACGTTGCTCATCGCCGTCTTGCAAGCACGAGACCGCAATAATTGTCGGCTTGGACATAAATTTCGTGTAAGCCAGTTCACCGATTTTGGCAAGATTCTCGGCATCAACGTGGTCGGGTGTATCCTCAATCTTAATCTTCGCGGTAGCGGTCTGCGAGAATTAGCTTCGTCTCCTCGCCGATGACGGTGAAACGCCACGGCTCGGTGACATGGTGATTGGGTGCCCATATCCCAAAGCTGAAAACCTGTTCAATAACATCGTTCGGCACCGGTTCCGGCTTGAACTTAAAAATGGTGCGTCGTGAAAGAATTGCGTCTTTAACATCCATAAGTCAGATCCTCCTTGTAAAAGTCAATTATACCGCATTGGCTGGTTAATTGCAAGGTGTGGTGTTTTTTACGCCACTGCCCCTCTTTAACTGAAAAACTGACAACTGAGAAAACTACCTAATACCATCCTACGAATCGCAAGTACATACGCCAGAGCGTGTCTCCCCATAAAAGCACGAGCACAGCGGCACCCTGCAAGGAAGGGACCATACGGGATAGGACTCTGCCGACTTTTCCGTCCAGAGATTATCAAGGCACTCCCGACAATCGCACCACTTAGCGCAGAGAAGGCGATCACCATCACGAGTTCGGGCCACGCACCGAGGAACAATCCGTTGAGTGCCATCAGCTTGATGTCCCCACCCCCCATCGCTTTTTTGCGTAAAATCGCGCTCCCAATTACGGCAATCAACCATAACACCATCCATCCAGCAACGGCACCGATGAGGCGTGTGAGCAGATACCAAACATCGGCACGTTGATACGCGATCGCGCTGACGATAACGAAACCGAGAATCAATCCCGTCACGATGAGGACATTTGGAATAATATAGTGCCTCACATCAATTACAGAGATCGGCAACAACACAGCGACGAAAGCGAGTGCGAGCAAAAATTCAAGCGTTAATCCGAAGTAATAGAACATAAGCAGAAACAGCACAGCTGTTGCCAAGTTCAACGCACGGATACACAGCAGAAATTTTTGCCTTGCAATGCCGACACTTTCCCCGCAAAAGCAGATAGCTCAAAACCGGGATATTGTCGTAAGGGTTTATAGGATTATTACATTTAGGACAAAATGAACGGCGTGGTGAATGAATCGAAACGTCTGGGAGCGGAATGCGATAGATACAGACATTGAGAAAACTACCGACTGCCAGACCAAAAAGGAAAATAAAGACCCACATATTTTTTATAGTTATCGGTTATCGATTCAGAGGGCTTTTGTTTAACCAAACACCACTTGTGACTGATAACTGATAACCGAAAGGATTTCGCAGAAATCCGTACCGAGAACCATTCCTCTGATAACTAACTACCACCAATACTTTTCACCGAGGCGCGCGTCCGCATGATAGACTCTGCTGATCTCCGCGACACCGCCGATTCGATATTTTTCGGGGACACGCGGGTGATTTTTTGCAATCCCTACCTTATAGGTGTCTTGATGGAGAACATAGTTCCCACCCCAAGGTGTCTTAGGAATAGATTCCAGATAGTTACCACGCCATCCGCCAACGCCAGGATCCGTCACCAAGGCATCTAAATTTGTTGGATACCCACCGGTGTGCTTGAAGTACTTCTTGATGGCAACGGCAACGGTTTCGACATCTATATCCGCCGCGCCCGCTTTTCGATATTCCCGCCATGGTGGAAAAGAAAGTGCCACAATGATAATGGCTATAATAACAAGGATGAGCAACTGAAGTCGGGTCATCCCGCCGTTTTCGTTAATGTTTTTCTGTAGCATTGTCAGGATAAGCACTCCATCAGTTTAACCCTCAGAACTTGGTCGAGAAATGCCATACCGGTTCATCTTCTTGTACAAGTTACTCCGCTCCACCTCTAATGCTTCCGCGGTACGTCGGATGTTCCACTTATTCTCTCCCAAAGCCGCAAGGATGCATTGCGCCTCGGCAGTATCCATCATCTTACCCAGAGCTGTTCCAGGTTTGTAGAGGGGTATCCCCAGAGGGGCCTGTAAGGCACCTTGATTCAGCGTCGCGCTTGATGTCGGATATAACGAAGTGGGTTGAGGAATCAGAGACAAAGCCTCAGCGACGTCCGGTGCCATCACAACATCTCGATTTACCATAATAAGGAGGCGTTCAACGATGTTTTTTAACTCCCGGATATTCCCTGGCCAACTGTAACTTTGAAACACAGCATAAGCCCCTGGGTCAATGACTTTCGGCGTGGATGCAATATTGAGTTGTAACCGCTCGGCAAAATACTTCACTAACAGCGGAATATCCTCTGTCCGCTCTCGGAGCGGTGGAACGGTAATAGGCACGACATTAAGCCGATAGAAAAGATCGCGTCGAAATCGCCCATTCTCAATCTCCTCAGGGAGGTGTTTGTTAGTCGCTGCGATAATTCGAACATCTACCGTCCGAATCTGATTTCCTCCGAGACGTTCGACTTCGCCGGTTTCAATGACGCGAAGGACCTTTGCTTGCGCCTTTAAACTCATATCGCCAATTTCATCGAGAAAGATAGTTCCACCGTGAGCGAGTTCAAAGCGTCCCTGTCTTCGTGAATCTGCGCCAGTGAACGCGCCTCGTTCATGTCCAAAAAGTTCGCTCTCAATGAGTTCATCGGGCAAAGCGGCACAGTTGAGGGGGATAAAGGTTTTCGCGGCACGCCTGCTCTGTCGATGGATCGCATTAGCAACAAGCTGTTTACCTGTGCCATTCTCGCCAGAGATTAGGACACCGAGTTTGCTTCCCGCGACCCGCTCAATCTGCAAGCGGAGATGCGAAATAACGGCACTCTCACCTACCATTTCGTCGGTGGGTGTAATTTGTGATTTCAGAATCTCATTTTCTTGCGATAAGCGCGATATATCTAAAAACGGCTGAACACTGGAGAGAATTTTATCAATACTAATCGGTTTTGTGATATATCGCTTTGCACCGAGTTCCATTGTCGTAACAGCAATTTCGATATCTTGTTGCGCAGACATCATCACCACATTTAATTTCGGATAGCGTTCACGAAGTTTTACAAGCGTCTGAACACCATCCATTCCATTTTCCATGCGGATATCCAATAGCACAAGATCCACATCGGACTTGATGCACTGTTGCAACGCTTCCTCGCCACTTGCAGCTGTAAGAGCTTGATACCCTCGCATTTTGAGCCCTTGGGACAACATCTTAAGCGTATTTTTTTCGTCGTCTACAATCAGAATGGTTTCCATCTTTCTGTCCTAATTGAGAGCGTTTTAAGAGCGGATAGGTTAGTCTTCAACGCCTATCGCCTAATCTTCGGTTTCCAGTTCAGTAACCAAACGCGTGTGTGGTATTAATCCTTCAGCCGCCGATGTAAATTCCTCGGAGCGAGTTCCTTGATTGTGGGGAAAATGGATACGGACAGTTGTGCCTACGCCTTCGGTGCTTTGAAAGTCTATCTCAGCACCATGCTCTGTGACAATCCTTCTAACAATTGGCACGCCGAGCCCTCTACCATTCGTCTCTGACTTTGTCGTGTAATACGGCACAAAGAGATTCGCACAGTCTCCTGGGACATACCGTGACCCGTATCTTGAATTTCCAGTGAAACCGTGCCATGGGTGTCCATATCTTTTTGGTCTCTTTCTCCCTGTTTTTCGTCGTCGCGTGATTCCCCCGATGCCGCGTTTGTATGCGTTTGCGGTGCGTCTGGTGTGAAATAGGTTTTAACCTTAAGCAATCCGCCTTCAGGCATAGCTTCAATTGCATTTTTCAAGAGGTTACCAAGTGCTTGTGCAATATGTTCCGGATCCACTAAAAGTCGAGGAAGCGGAGCTAACTCAGTCCTAACTTTAATTTTGGAGATATTTTCAAGCCAAAACTTCTCAGTAGAATCTTGTAGGACCGAGTTTACGTGCTCTGAACTCATCGGTGCGATTTCATTTTCCTGCTCAAGGTCCGGGTATGTGTCTACCGGTGTACAGTGTCAGAACAGATCTCACAATGTCATTCAACTGGTTCCATTTCCGCTGGGGCTTCGGCATTCGCGCGAATTGATGGAACTCGTCTATGAGTTTACCGATCCGATCGACCTCTTCAATGACTGTGTCCGTACATTCACTGAATATTTGCTCAAAAACTTCAGGGTTGGATTTCGCCTGCTGCAGGTTTTCAACAGAGAGTCGAATCGGAAAGAGCGGGTTTTTAACTTCATGCGCCACCTGCCGTGCGGCATCTCTCCAAGTCGCTGCACGCTCTGCTGCCATACGTTCCTCCAAGCTCTGCTTCAGGTCATGTGCCATTTGATTGAACCCCTCAGCAAGCTGCCCTACCTCATTACGCGATTGGATCTTAACGCGATGATCGAGATTACCCGCCGCGATGTGACTCACCCCCTCGCGTAGGACCGCGATAGGACGGGTAATCCGACGACTAATGATATAACTGATGAGATAAACTAACGCGAGTCCACCGATACCACTCAAAAGCAGTGTGATCGTAAGTTGCTGCTGCCATCTCATCTGACGTTCATGCGAATATGCAACGACTAAGCCCACAGCGGGGGCATCGCGCGTCGTAGCGAAGGGGGAGTTGAAAGGTGTTATCCGAAAAGCAGTAAAAGCCCGCCCACTGGTATCTTCTGTTGCCTGTAAAAAGATTTTTCGCTCTGGAAGCCAACTCGGAAGTGATTTAAACCATCCTCTCCCCTGTGCTATTTGAGAGGCATAATTTAATGGAAGCCAATCCTCCGCTGCTGTCGTCTTCGATTCGGTGTCAAAGGATGCTGTGTTCGACCCCTGGGACTTTCCTACAAGAAAGATCGGATGTTCATCTGATTGAATGCTCGTTGGGGTCGTCTCCAGCCACGTCTGCAAGAGGTAGCCTCCTGTCACAAATCCCCATTCGCCTGCTTCCGTTACCTGAACCACATACTGTAACCCCAGATCACTCTGTTTCGGAATATTTCTGAGTTGTATATGTCCCTCCTCGTCGTCCAATGAATTATATATCCGCTTCCTTTTTCCTACCTTTGTGTCAGGATATAGGAGTCTTCCATCCGAAGCACCGTACTCTAAAAAATCAAACTCCAGTGCCGGTAGATAAGGGAACGATGACTCCCTTTCTATGACACGGTGCAATCTTACGTCAGTGGCTGTGGCGTGAACCTCTTTTTGAACCTTGTTGAGAAACACTTGATAATTGTTTGAAATCTGGGCTTGAATCTTCTCAACATAGTCATCAATTTCCTTTTTAAAAGCGAGCCGAATCAGGAAACTGGTACTCCCAAAGACAACGCCAAACATGACAAGGAAGACGAAGCCGTAAGCGAAATAAATATTTTATCATGGAATCGTAAACCGGAGAGTCTATTCCTCATTTTTCACACAACTTGCGAAGCACTTTTGCTTTTAAACTTTGGAAATTTGTAGCACGAGAGGAGATTACTCTTCTATCATCTACTCGCTGTCCACACCCGGTGTCAAGGCAAAAGATCGGAAATTCCGCTTATAGCCTTCAACACCCTCTTGCAGGTATGTTAACTCACTCCCGCCATTATTGTCAAGATGTAACCCCTGGAGCCTGCCTTTCACGGCAATAGTGTCCATTAAGAGACGCATCAACTGACAAACAGACTGAATATCCCGCTTCGGGAGGGTTAGCGTTGCATTGGGGATACCCTTTTCACTAAAATCTAAAGCAGTCCCGCGATACGAAGCAGCCTGCATGTGCGTCATGGATAAACCTTCAAACTCGGTTAATTTGCTGTCCATTCCAGTCTCTTTCGGCAGTACTAAATCGGAACCAAGTTCCTCCCAATGAATAAATAAAACGGCTTTATCTCTGGGACCGGCGATAATACCGTTGAGAATTGAGTGATTGCTCGTGGGTCCCTTCGCATTTATGACATTAGCACCGCCGCCCCGCTCCTGAATAGATTCTGTATAAAGTTGGACGAACCATTCACCGAGACAACTCCCGTCAGCGTAGTTGTAAAAAACAATATTTAAACTATGGTCCTCTGGGCATCGCTCCCCTATAAACATGCCACCCCTACGGGGTTCTGTTGACCGCTGACCGCTGACCGCTTCTTCACTGACTGCTGACTGCTGACCGCTGACGACTTCTTCAGAGAGATGAATCCATCGCGCCAATTGATAGGCAATGTTATCCCGATGATTATAAGCGAGATTAAAGCCTTCGTGAGCCTGATTCACACCTTCGACCGCGGCACGAATTCGGGTATCGGGAGTTTCGTTCTTTCCTGCTGTCATAGCGAGAAAGAACAATCCGACTGGAGAGAAAGCTGAAAACCGCCCGCCAACCCCATCAGGAACAGGAAGCAGGGTGTCGCCGTAGAAAGGTGATTGCTCATGCATTCGGAAGAGCACACTGTCGGCGGTTAATCCGGTAGTGGCAAGGACTTGTTGCTGCCAGTTTACATCATCAAGCGCATCACGGATAACCATCAACGTCGCCATAGTTTCGGTGGTTGTTCCGGATTTGCTAATGACATTGAAGAGCGTCTTATCAAGAAGGTTCCTCGCTTTGAGCATTTCAAGTAAGCCGGCAAGCTTGCGTGGATCGAAGGTATCGCCTGTGAAATAGACTTCGGGGGCACCACCGCGTTCTTCAACCGACAGCAAGTTATGATACGGATGGTTGAAGGAATCGTGAAAGACGCGGGCACTCAGATCGGAACCACCCACACCAATGATGACTAACACCGAGAACGCCTCACGTGCGCGTGTAGCTAACGCCGCGACTTGGGCAATATCCTCGGTCTGGAGATGACTCCGGGTCCACGCACGAAGCCCACGCTCCAACTCGGCAAGCGGTGCTTCCGTTTCATCCTGAAATAGAAGGTGAATCCTTTGCAAAGCGGTATCAACCTTCTGTTGCGCCGCCTGCGGGAACGAACCAGCTGCCCCATCGTCAACTAAAAAATGTAGCTTACTGTCCAACGACATCCCCTCTTTACTCAATTCTTCCATACTTGTCTGAAAGACGAACGATATCTTCTTCGTCAAAGTGTCCAAACGCAATTTCAAGTATTCGATAGTCTTTAGATTCCCCGATGAGTTGATGTTTAGCACCTTGTGGAATAAACACGGGTTCCATAGGTGCGGGACGTTGAAGCGTGCCATCAAGGTTTACACAGGCACCCTCATCAAGCGGAATCCACAACTCACTTCGGTGGTGGTGATATTGATAACTCACCTGCTCGCCTGCCCGAATCTCTAAAATTTTGACGGTAACAGGTTGATTGAGGACATATTGTATGAAACGACCCCAAGGTTTCTCAATTGTCACGATTTCCTGAAGTTCTTTCGGGCATAAAGGCATGATTAACTCTCCGAAGTGCGGGACAGATCCATCGAATAATGATTTTTAAATGATCGGATAAGAAAGTGTTCTAAAGTCCGTGAAGTCACTGTAACTTTCTAACTTTCGTTCACTTTAGCACACTTGCAAACTTTCTGCTCCGTTTCAGTTGGAACAGATCGAGAACCTGTCAGGAGACAAAAAGTGCTTACAAAAACACAATAGATAGTGTATCATATCAGTAGTCTGTAGTCAACTCAAAAGATGGCTTTCAGCAATCGTCAATCAGCGAGTCAGCAAAGAGGTTTCTTGCTGATGGAAACTGAAAGCCGACAGTCGACCATTTTCGCTGATAGCCATTCCCGTTAGGAAACCTAATTGTTAAAAAATACAATTTCAACCCTTATTGAGAATAGCATCTCCGAAAAGGTGTTTCCCGGTGCCGTCGCCTGTATCCTTACAGATAAAAAGGTGCTTTATCACGAAGCATTTGGGTATCGATGTGTGAAACCGAAAAAGCTACCGATGCTTCGCACGACGCTATTCGATTTAGCATCGCTGACGAAACCGATTGTCGTCGGAACGCTCTACATGCAACACGTTGAGAGAGGCACACTCTCTTTGGATACACCCACAGAGAAATACCTACCGGAGTTCAGACAGACAGGGGTGACGCTTAAACATCTGCTGACACATACCTCAGGACTTCCTGCATGGTTACCTGTCTATCTACGCGCACCATCACGTGAGGATGTGATCTCCTATCTCGGAGACATCCCACTGGAATCTCAACAGGGGAAGAAAGCAGTGTATAGTTGCTTGGGGTATATCGTGTTAGGGGCACTGCTCGAAAAAGTAGCGGGGCAATCGCTGGACAAATTGGCACAAGATCGGATTTTCGCGCCGCTCGGTATGGAATGGACGCGGTTCAACCCGCCACAAGCATGGCGTGAGCACTGTGCAGCCACCGAGGATTCCAACAGTTTTGAACGCCGGATGGTGAACTACGAACGCTACGATTGGCGAGAAGGTGTAATCATCGGGCAGGTCCACGACGAGAACGCTCATTTCCTCGGCGGCGTTTCCGGCAATGCAGGACTTTTCTCTACATCAACGGATCTCGGTAAGTTCTGTAGAACGCTCATGAACAATGGTGGGGAACTTTTACGTCCGGAGAGCCTCTGTACGATGCAACAAGTCGCTTCAGCGGAAGGAGAACGTCGGTGCATCGGTTGGGCTGTGACAGACGACGGGTGTCTCTACCACACAGGGTTCACCGGCACTTCAATCCGAATCTGTTTGAAAAGAAAACTTGCCGCGATTCTGTTGACAAATCGGGTGCATCCCGATGCCGATCGGCGCGGCATTATCGAATTCCGAAAAATCTTCCACAATACTTTGTTCTCTACAGAGATTGCTTCGCAGTGAGAATTAAAAAATGTTTTCCACAGCACAACAGCAAAAAATTGAATTAGGATTGAATGTTCTGCTCACAGAGAAAAGCGACTGGATTCGCGGGAAATCAATTGGCCTGATTACAAACCACACGGGGGTTGATGCTACCTTACGAAGCAATTATCGACTTTTCTCGGAGGTGCCGGCGTGTCGGCTTTCTGCGATCTTTTCCCCAGAGCATGGGTTCTGGGGTGCGGTCCAGGATGGTATCGCTGTCAACAGTCTCGATGTCTCGGATGAAAACCTATCGCAGCCGCACCTCGCAAGCGTTCCCGTCTATAGTCTATATGGACAATCAATCCGTCCAACAGTGAGCCAACTTGAAGGCATTGATTTGCTCGTCTACGATATGCAGGATATCGGTGCGCGTTACTATACCTATATTTCGACGCTGCTACATGCAATGGAAGCAGCCAGCGACCATGGCATCGAGTTCGTCGTCGCAGACCGTCCGAATCCGATTACGTGCAATGCCGTGGAGGGACCGATATTGGCGCGTGGGTGTGAGTCGTTTGTCGGTATACATACGGTGCCCATCCGTTACGGATTGACAATCGGTGAATTGGCAACACTCCTGAAGGCAGAACGTGTACCAGCGTGCCGTCTAAAGGTTGCATGGATGCACGGATACGAACGCCGAATGTGGTACGATGACACCGGCTTACAGTGGGTGCCACCATCGCCCAATATGCCGACACTCACGACGGCAATCCTCTATCCCGGTCTTGTGCTTGTTTGAAGGAACAAATATGAGCGAGGGTAGAGGAACGACAAAGCCCTTTGAATACATCGGCGCACCTTGGTGCAACGGCGAAAAGTGGGCTGAGGTACTAAATGCTTTGCGTCTACCCGGTGTTCTGTTCCGTCCCGTTGTTTTTACACCTGCCCCAGCCGCCGAAAACACAAAGCACGCGAAACAGACATGCGGTGGCGTTGCAATTCACATTACCGATAGAGAACGCTTCCTTCCGGTAGAAACGGTTATCCACATGTTATCCACTTTAACCACCAAGTACAGGGATCATTTTGCGTTTTTACCCACGCACTTCGATAGGTTAGCAGGAAACAACTGGCTCCGAGACGCGCTACTAAAAGGAAAATCAATGGATACAATCCAAGCACAGTGGACTGAAGAACTTCAGATATGGTGTGAAAATACAGCACAGTATCACACCTACCATTAGAAAAACGGAATTCGGTAGTCCGTAATGAAATGGAGGACGGATTTAAGAAAGGTGCCGTATCGTTCCAACTCACTTTATTTCTCCGCAAGGAAAATTAGAAAAATGGAATTTTATGAACTCCTGAAAAAAAAGAAAAAATATGTTATCGGCTTGATGTCTGGCACCTCAGTAGATGGTATCGATGCAGCCGTTGTTGAAATTACGGGGCACGGTCTGGAAACGACAGTGAACTTGATCGCTTTTGAGACTTTTCCCTTTCCACCGGATGTGCCACAACGCATCCTCGCTCTCTGCCATCCGGATACGAGCCGCGTTGACGAGATTTGTGAGATGAATTTTTACATCGGATACCTCTTTGCGGAGGCTGTCAAACATATCCTACAAAAAAACGGAATTCCTACCAGCGACATTGACCTCATCGGCTCACACGGTCAGACGATTCACCACTACCCATTTTTAATTATTCCTTGCGGAGAAACGACGGGCGTTTGGACTTTGACGTGCGTTGCTCAAATCCGCCTGCGCCGATGTTGCAGGCTGCTGTCTTGGGTAAACCAAAACCCATAGCCCGTAATGTAATGGAGGGCGGATATACGGAAGAAACCGTGAAATCCCAAAGCCGTCTCAACGAACCGCAAGGTAAAATTAAAATTCCATCGACACTGCAGATCGGTGAACCTGCGGTCATTGCACACGAAACCGGCATCCCCACTATCGCTGACTTTCGGGTGGCAGATATGGCGGCAGGCGGGCAAGGGGCACCGTTAGTAGCATATCCAGACTATCTGCTGTTCCATGACAGTGTTAAAACAATGGGACTTCTGAACATCGGAGGGATCGCGAACATTACAGTGCTTCCTGCAAACGGATCGTTCGATTCGGTTTCCGCAGCAGACACAGGACCGGGAAATATGTGTATTGATGCAGTCGTGAGCGAGATAACTGATGGAAGAGAGCGGTATGACCAAGCAGGGCAGCGCGCCGCGCAGGGTACGCCTCACCAACCTCTCATTGACGAATGGTTAAATCACCCTTTTTTTCAACTGACACCACCGAAGACGACTGGACGCGAGATGTTCGGACACACCTTGGCAATGGAATGTCTGGCAGCATGCCGTAAACACAGTCTCTCGGATAACGACTCTATTGCAACGTTGACCGAATTGACAGTCCAGACGATTGCCCTTTACATCTCACAGTTTGTGCCTGAGAAGAACCCAATAGACACACTCTATGTGAGCGGCGGCGGGGTACACAATCAAACAGTAATGCAACGGCTCAACGAAGCATTAGTAGGTACAGCAGTTGAACCTGTGGACAACTCAGGTATCTCGGCGGATGCAAAAGAGGCGATCGCATTCGCAATCCTTGCGAATGAATCACTTCATGGACAAGCCGGGAACCTGCCTTCCGCCACAGGCGCGTCTATGCGAAAAATTTTGGGCAAGTTCGTGTGTCCATAATCTAATAGCCTTCAACTGTCAGCAATCAGCCATCAGAAAGAGGGTTGCGAGAACTTCTTCCTCCGATGGTTTCCGATAATTGTTCACACAGAATGGAACCTAACCTCTCTTCACCGCAATACACTTCGTTTCTTGAAGAATTATGCACCCATTTCACCTCTAAGTAGCGTCACCAGATATAAACCATCTCTTTTTGGAGACGATGATGAAAAACGACGATACTAAACTCATCCAGCGCGTCCTCGCAGGCGACGATAACGCCTTCTCTGTGCTTGTAAGAAAATACCAAAAGCAGGTTCACGCACTCGCGTGGCGGAAAATCGGGGACTTCCACATCGCAGAGGAAATTACACAGGATACTTTTCTGAAAGCATACAAGAGACTCGCAACACTGAAGAAACCTCAGCGTTTTGCGAGTTGGCTTTATGTGATTGCCGCAAACCGATGCAGTTCGTGGCTCCGCAAAAAACGTTTGTTGACACAGCCGCTGGAGCAGTTAGAGGAGACAGACAACGAACTGTTACAAAAAGCGACGTATTCTGGGTATGTCATTGAGGAAAACGAGCGTACAGCCGTAGCTGCACAACGCGATGTCGTCAAAAAATTGCTTGCGAAACTCCAAGAAAGTGAACGCACTGTCATTACGCTGCACTACTTCGGTGAGATGTCGTGTACAGAAATTGGCGCGTTTTTAGGTGTATCAGCAAATACGATTAAGAGCAGGCTTCGCCGCGCACAGCAGCATTTAAAGAAGGAGGAACCGATGATAAGAGAGGCTTTAGACAACTTCCAAATCACGCCGAATTTCACGGAGAACGTTATGCGAGAAATCGCACGTATCAAACCTATTACATCTTCCAATGGAAACCAGCCGATCATGCCATGGGCAATTGCTGCTTCCACAGTTGCAGTGGTCTTGCTAATGTTAGGCATCGGAAACCATCAACACTTAGGACGTTTCCAAAAGCCATACAGTTTCGATGCGACTTCAGAGATGACGATTGAACTCATTGAGGCACCGCTTGTGCTGAACCTTGTCTCCAAACCGGATGCGAGAACGCAACTCGGAAATACCAACGCGCTCAATAAGAGCAATACGCCTGAACGGAAACCTAATGATACCCCAGCGTTATATGCAGAAGCACAAACGGACGAAGCCGTCGAAAACTACGCAAAATGGGAACTACCGAAAGAAGCGAAAGCGCGTCTGGGAAAGGGTGGAATCAATGTGATCCAATTCTCACCCGACGGGTCTCAGATCGCAGTGGGCAGTAATATCGGTGTGTGGCTCTACGATGTAGAAACAGGCAAAGAACTATCGTTGTTCGCAGGCATGTGTCAATCCCTCGCATTTTCACCTGATGGACGTTATCTTGTCAACGGCGGCGGAAGGTACACAACGGACGAAATTCAAGTGTGGGATACAACTACTGGGCACAAAGTGTCACTCGCTGATGCCCCTACTTCTGCCGCAGCATTGCAGTTTTCCTCAGATAGCAAAAGGCTGATTAGTTTGAGTAGTTTACATTTACAGAAGACAATTAGCAGATTAAATATTGAAACTGGAAAGGTAGATGTGACGACGCTCAAAGCAGGAGACAGGGTTATTTCTGGAGTTTACGCGCTCACATTTGACAAGATCGCAATTGGAGGTTGGGGCGGAAAGATTCAGTTGTGGGACATAATGACCGGCAAAAAGTTATTCACCCTCGGAGGGCATGCAGATTTACCTACCCAACCATTTCCTTCACGCCTGCCTTCTGCACCTCTACAGTATCAGAAACAAGTCTTAGCGTTGGCATTTTCACCTGATGGTACAATGCTTGCAAGTGGAGGTAAGGATAATACAGTCCGATTATGGAATAATGCCAGTGATAGCGAACCAACTGTGCTTCAAAAACATACAGGTTGGACAAACGTGTTAGCATTCTCTCCTGACGGAAAGATACTTGCCAGTGGGAGTACCGATAAGACGGTGCTGTTGTGGGATACCACCACTGCAGAACTGCTCGCTACCCTTTCAGGTCATATCAATGGTATTACTGCTTTCGCATTTTCACCCGATGGCTCAATGCTCGCAAGTGGAAGTACGGACGGCACGATCCGGTTCTGGAATATCAAGACGGGAGATGTCCTCGCTCCTCGTATCACCGGACATACGGAGTGGGTAAAAGGAGTGACTTTTCTCCAAAGATAATTCCACACTTGTCAGTGTGGAGTTCAATGGAACCATCAATTTTTGGGATGTGAAGACATCACAAAGAACCGATCGCCAAAGTGCTGGACACCGAGATTGGTTAGCGACTTTAGCGTTTTCACCGGATGAAACACAGCTCGCAAGCGTTGGCGCGGAAAGTAACATGGTCGTAGGATTCGGTCGCGCGACAAAGCCTGATTCTTTAATTCGTTTGATTGATGTAAGCACCGGACGCGAGATGGCAACATTGAAGGATAAGCCCGGGGTCTCAAATCTGGTATTTTCGCCTGATGGCAAAACAGTAGCCTTCAGCAATCACGGTGAAATTCGTTTGTGGAATACAGAGACAGGGACTGTTCTTAATATGTCGCCCTCGGATCCGAAGAACAATTTTCCTGAGAGGTTGGAGCCTGAAATCAGTGCCTTGGTATTCTCACCAGATGGAAAGAAATTAGTCAGTGGAACCATGGATAGAAATATCCAGATGTGGGATACGGAAACTGGGATTGGCTTGGTTTCTCTCACAGAGCAGGATCCAGACAATGTAAAGTATGGCGTGAAAGCGGCGGCAGATGCTGACTCTGACGCAACCGTAGTAAAAACCGTGTTTCCTGACGCAACCGTCACATATCAAGATCCCATCTCAGTGTTGGCATTCTCTCCAAATGGTAATCTGCTTGCCGCGGGAAGTCAGAAGCAGATTCGGTTATGGAACATGGGAACTGGCAATTGGGGAAAAGGCATTTCCTCAATTAACAATCGTAAAGATAGCAGAGAGGTTTTTCACGGTTCTGAGGCGTTGGTGTTTTCGCCAGATAATACGACGCTTATTAATGGCGACGGAAATGGCAGACTCCAGCTGTGGGACATAACAACAGGAGATGAACTGACCACTCTCGATGGACACACAAGACAAGTAGAAACGTTACAATTTTCGCCCGACGGCAACACACTCGTCAGCGCAGCACAGGATGGCACAATTCTCCTCTGGGATTGGGAGGAAATCTTCAACGGTTTGCCTGTAAAGGATAAATAGTGTTATAATAGTCATCGGTTATCGGTTGTCAAAGGAATGTTCTAAGGAAACGAAATCTTTTTTGGCGGTTGATCACCATCCAAAACCTAATTCTACGAGATACGCAATAGCTGCCGCCTTCGGATCCGCTCAATCGCGCATATCAGTGTTTAAGGGAGGGAAAACCGATGCTAAGAAACGCTTCAGGCAATTTTCAAGTCACGCCGAATTTCACCAAGAACACCACACAAGAAATTTCTCGTCTAATGCTATGGGTAATTGCTATCGAAGCAGTGATCTTACTGCTAAGTATTGGGGATCATCCTGTAGAGGCACAGACAGATACAACCGTCAAAGATTACACAAAATGGGAACTACCTAAAGAGGCAAAAGCGCGGCTGGGAAAGGGTGGAATTGATGAGATTCAATTCTCACCGGATGGCACACAACTCGCCGTAGGAAGCAACATTGGTATATGGTTGTACGATGCAAAAACAGGAAAAGAGATTACCATGTTCCCTGGTATGTGCCAAGCCATTGCTTTTTCGCCGGATGGACAATTCATTGCCAGTGGCGGCGGAAAGTTACGCGGACAGGAACTTCAGTTATGGGAGATCGCTACCAGACGTAAAGTCCCAATCATTGGTGGACCTTTTGTTGGATCAGTATTGCGGTTCTCTGAAGATGGGAAAACACTTGTTAGTTTGAATAATTGGGGAGACACAATTAGCCAGTTGGACATTGAGACTGGACAAGGAAATATAAAACATCTCGAAGAACGACAATTTACTGGGAGCCGCGGTCCTGAAGTCTACGCGCTCACGCATGACAAATTCGCGGTTGGAAATAGAGATGGGAAGATTCAATTGTATGACCCATCAACAGGCAAAATGTTATTGACGCTCAGAGGACACGCGAATTTGTCCCCCACAGCCGTTAGATGCCGCCCCGAATAGACCTGCATTTCCGCCACCACATAGGACTAAAAATAGAGTCTTTAGCGTTGGCATTTTCGCCTAATGGCACACATCTTGCCAGCGGAAGTCAGGATAAAACAGTCCGACTCTGGGATACCACAAACGAAGGCAAATGGACTACACTCCAAAAACATACAGGTTGGGCAAACGTGTTGGCATTCTCTCCTGACGGAAAAATGCTTGCCAGCGGGAGTACCGATAAGACAGTGCAGTTGTGGACACCGACGACGGGTGAACGCTTGTGACACTCACTGGGCATCTCAACGGTATTAATGCGTTAGCGTTTTCAGCGGATGGTAACATACTCGCAAGTGGGAGCACAGATGGCACGGTCCGATTTTGGAACACAGAAAATGGAGATCCACTATCTACTCCTATCACTGGACACACTGAGAGGTGAAAGCAGTCGCTTTCTCTAACGATGGCTCTACGCTTGCCAGCGTAGCGTTTAACGGCACAATTACATTCTGGGATGTGAAGACATCAAAAAAATCCAATAGTCAGGTTGCGGGACACCGAGATTGGTTCACAACTTTAGCGTTTTCTCCTGATGGTACGAAACTTGCCAGCGTTGGAGCAGAAGGTGACGTAATCTTTGGGGTTATTTCTTCTTGGCGACCGGATCCGTTAATTCGTTTGACAGAGGCGAGCACGGGACACGAGATAGCGACGCTTATGGATCGCATGAATCCCTCAAACCTGACTTTTTCACCCGATGGAAAAACAGTAGTTTTTAGTACTCACGATAAAATTCGTTTATGGAATATAGAAACAGATAGTCATCTTGATATCCAGCGCTCACATCCGAATGATGTTCACAAACTACCTCCCGATCCACGTGGAAACGGTGATTTGGCTATACCACCAGGTAGGAGATTCCGCCCAATGCCAATGATCAGTGCTTTGGCGTTCTCGCCAGATGGGACAAGACTTGTTAGCGCAACTATGGAAGGACAGGTTCAGATGTGGGATGCAGAGATGGGGATCGAACTCACTTCCCTCGTAGAGCAGGATCCGGACGGTGCAAAACATGAGGTGAAAGACGGAGGTATGAGGGTGAAAACCTCATATAAAGATCCTATCTTCGTGTTGGCATTCTCTCCAAATGGCAAACGACTTGCTGCGGGGAGTCAGAAGCAGATTCGTTTGTGGAACATGGGAACTGGGAATTGGGGAAAAGGAATTTCCTCAATTAACAATCGTAAAGACGGCAGGGAAGTCTTTCAGGGTTCTAAAGCATTGGTGTTTTCGCCAGATAGTACCGTGCTTGTTAACGGGAATAGAACAGGTAAAATCCAGTTATGGGACATAACAACAGGGGACGAACCCATCACTCTCAATGGACATATGGAAGGGGTGGAGACGTTGCAGTTTTCGCCCGACGGCAATACACTTGTTAGCGCAGCACAGGACGGCACTATTCTCCTTTGGGATTGGAATGAAATCATCACTGGATTGTCTGTAAAAGATAAATAGGCAAGGAAATAATCGTCAGTTATCGGCGTGAGAGGAAAGGATTTCGGTGAAACAAAACTGATGGCTGACTGCTGACCACTGATGGTTGCAAGCCATCTAAAACCTAATTCTGAGGGATATGCGATGGCTGCCGCCTAACGCCGGATGGTTCGCAAAAGCATAGTCTAACCCTGCACCCGCCCCTGTGACGAATCGGAGGTTTAATCCAACCCCTGCTGTCAAGTGGCGCACACTTTCAAGACTTCCACTACGCTCCGCCATTCCAACCCGTAAGGCAAGCAGGTCGAAGAGCGTCCATTCGGCACCCGCATGCAACTCAACTGGACTTCCCTGCGGTGCTTCTACATCAGATTCAGCCCGTGAGTGCCCCCGATTTTGGATGTAGGTATCCAGTGCGAGAATAAGTGTGCTTCGGAAGATAGGAAGCGCATGTATCGTGGCGATACCAATTTTCAGCTGTGGCAGTATCGTTTCGGTGTGCGATGTAAGATCCGCCGATGGTGGCGGTGTATTCCAATAGAGTTTCGTTGTAAAGACATCGCTCGCCTGCAACCCGAGCATGAGTTGGTGAGATTTTTCTGGGTTTGTCATTGCGACAAGACCCATATCAGCACCGCCGCCGATGGCATTTGTGCTCCGATACCCGCTCATGTAGAGAAGCTTGAGGGTCCCACCAAGCCGTAAATTGATACCATAAAGCGTTGGAAGCCGCCAACCCTGAGCGAAGAGAAAAGCGTTATCGGTATTGTTAAAAGACCCAACTACCTCTGGACGGTTTGTAGGTCCGACAGGACGACTGACCACGGGTAGACTGGTAATAGGAATATCGTCAACACCGACGCGGAGCCAACTGACACCGATGGCACCTCGCTCTTTAATCGGATGTCTTTTGTCTCGCGAGTTGTGGTTTGCAAGCGGCACCACAAAACTGACAAAATCATAAGCATCCCCTCCATTGAGCGTGGAGTGCATGAAACTCACTTCATATCGAGTGAGTTGTCCCAATCCAGCAGGATTCCAATACGGCGCGTAAGCATTGTCACTCAGAGCAGTCCCTGCACCGCCCATAGCAAGTGCGCGGGCACCAACCCCAAGTGTTAGGAAATCAGCAGTGTATCTCGCATCAACGGATTGAATGGTCACCGTACAGAACGCAATCACAGTTACAATGAAGCAGAACGTATTTTTTTTATGATGTTTCATATTTTTTGTAGCCGTCGGAAACCGTCGGAAACCTTCAGTTTCCATCAGCAAGAAAACCTCTTTGCTGACCGCTATACCCTGACAGCTATTAACGCAGTTTCATCATTTTGAGTATTTCGGTTATATCTTTTTCACCCTCGCGTTGGACTCGGAGTTTGGCATAGTAAACGCCATTTGCAACCTCAATTCCATCGGCATCCCTGCCATCCCATTCCATCATAAGAAATCCAGGAGTTGCTGGAATGGAGAGTTCCCGGATGAGCCGTCCGCTCAGCGTATAGATTTTCACAACGAGTGAATCAGCAGGCGCAGTTAATTCGCAGGTGAGCGTTGTTTTACGCGGAAAAGGATTCGGATAGTTGAGAAACGATAGCAGTTGCAAGGTGTCATGGACTCGAAATGTGATGTCTTTTGTATCAGTATTTCCATGGACATCGCTCGCAGTTAGGCGAACCTCATATTCTCGCGGTTCAAGTTCTGGAGACGGATATGTCAACACGAGTTGATTTGAGCCGGGATGATGTGTCACCTGATACGCCTCTGGATCAATGCTTTTATATTCGCCAAACGCGTCCCCAATTTCCAATAACAGCGGTCGGGTAAGGTAATCAAGCCCACTCGGATCAGTTAATGTTGCCCCGATAAGTGGTTCCGCATCTGTTGCATCTCCCGGAACAAAGTGCTGTTGATTGCCAATAGTGAGTTGTATATCTGGTGGCACAGTATCGTCAGTATACAACAGCGTAATCGGTCCAAGTCGATCTGTTGTAGCCCGAATGGTGCCGACGGGTCGGGTTTGAAACCGGAACCTATCTCCGGGAGCAAACGAACGTTCGCCTTGTGTGAGTTGAAAACGCAAGCCGTAGGGCTTATATGAGAAAGGTTCTTCGACTGTTCCACGCAGTGGTTGGTTTCCCGAATCCCCAACTCGTGCGTTGTTGTCTTGGATCAGAGTCGAGTTGGGGGTTCGAGTTTGAGAACGCAAGATACCGGTTCTCTCTCCTTCAACCTGAAATTCAGTGTCTGTAAGGAAGAAGATAATCCACTTATCTTCGGGCATAGCGGTGTCCGGCGGAAGTTCAACGTAACTGACGGTTCCAGTGCCTTTGTTGGTGTCCCTGAATCCAGAGGCATACCAACGCTGATCCTGTTGGGGAGTGTCGAGATCGGTTTCAACGTCCACAGGCTGTGTGAGGGAAGTTATGTTGAATGTCAATACATCTCCGAATGCCAAAGGTTTTTCAAAATCGAGTTCTACATTCATCGAGAATCCGTTCCTAAAGTTCGGCAAGTCTGTACTAAAGTTCGCAAGCTGCTCCGCTGAGGCAATAACTTCCAACGGCTCAAGTGCCAGCGTATCATCTGCCGAAGGGGAAGCAAGGAAAAGCCGATAGGTTTGAGGACCCGTAAAGAAGAGGACATATTTGCCGGTCCGCGCGCCTTCGGATTGGATACGGACATCGCGGAGTACACTTTCGCCAATGTTTTCTTCACTCACATTTGTTACATGTATGCGTTGCCGTAACGCGCCCGTAGTGTCGGTGAGTTGTTGGGAAGGGAGCCTCGTCCAATTTCCGAGGGTCGAACTAAATATATAGATACCGAACTCACGTGCGCGAGATGCGACAGCAGTGTCAATTGTCGCTGAAACCGCCAATTCATTGGGTCCCTCTTCTAAAGGTGTCTCTTCGGATTCTATACCGCCCAACAATTCTCGCGTGAGTTGGGTTCTGAGCGCACCGATGTCGAAACTTAAGTCGATCGCTACCGGAGAGGTTAATTGAATGTAGTTATCAGTTCTCGGTTCTCGGTTTTCAGTTAAGAGGTTCTTGTCGCTGACATCTGATAACTGATCGCCGACAACGATTTCATAGCCGTGGGCGGAAACCCCAGGAAGCGGTACGCGCTTGGACATTCCTTTAGGCGAAGACTTCGTCGTCGTATCGGAGGAACTCGTCCCTACAGCCGCAAACATCCGTTCATCTAAGGCACGGACTGTCAGTACTGTTGCTTCTTGCTGTTTTCCAAAGGCACCAGGGGGAACAGTGATAACACAGTTCCGGTCCAAACTGGAAATCTGACTTGAAGAAACCGTTTCCGCCACCCCCATATCAACAAAGAGTCGTTGATAAGCGATATTATCTTCCTCATCATTTTCAAGAACATTACCCGGCTGATCTGCTTCAGTCTTTGTCACATCGATATAGACAAATATGTCGTGTGTGCCGAGAGGCAGTTGGCCTCCATTATATCCAGAAGGCAAATTTAAAGTAGCAGTTGCAATCGGCAGCGTATTCAGGGGATCCGGTTCATAAACATCCTTCCTTGCACCCGGGTTCGCCAACGGAGTGCGTTGTACCCAGTCGTTCGGCTGGATGCGGGTAGTCCCTATGAGATTCACATCGTCATCAACAAGCGTATCATCGTCAACATCCGGATTGCCACTGAAAAAAGCAACTTCAATGAAGGAATCGGGGATTCCAAACCCCTCCTACTTCTATCTGCACATCCGCCGAGAGGTGCCACTGATCCGTTTTGGTGTTGTAGCCGTATCCAATCTTGGCGGTTCTGTTGACCTCTACAATCGAAAGATTAGGGTATACGTACGGATAATACTGAAGCCTCCCACTCGTAACCGTATTGTTATCTGTATCCGTGACCTGAAGTTCATATCTGATAGCGGAACCGTCTGTAGGCGCGTTTAACGGCTCAGGTACCGTCCACCATCCGTCTTCCGATAACGGAGGATCTGCGGGAACAAGACGCACTTTCTCCGATTCTCGACTCTCTGGGTTGCGCCAGTCTAAGAGGACAAGGAACAATTGTTCTTTTTCATCGGAAATCTGAACAGAGACACGGAACTTCCCCTCACCGACTAATTCGGGCTTAATATCAAGGATTTTAGGGATATTGACGGTAAATCCGTCGCCACCAACGGCAACAGTTGTGTTGCTTTGGGCATAGTACTCGACATGGGCATCACCACTCGCAATGTCTTTCGGGACGGAGAAAGTCACCGCTGGATAGACACCGCGGTTAACATCTACCGTTTTCGTCAGAATCACGTCTCCAGTGTAGTATTTTACTGGACCCGCAACACCTTGAGCAGTGGCTGTTTTCCCAGGAAACAGAGCTTTGATGATGAGTGTGCCGTTAAAAGTGGAATCGGTAACAAAACGTTTTGTTCGGCTTGCTGCGTCGTAAGTAGCGGTCTGCACATGCCCCGATGCAATTCGGAGGGTGTCCCCAGGGGCAACAGTCTTTGTCTCGATAGTAGGTTGAATTTCACCATTAGCGATGGCAATTTGTAAGGCGGGATCTCCGAAAAGGGTATATTCCATCACAACATCAATCTGCCCCGTACCTTCTGTCATTAAAAGTTCAACCTTTGAATCGAAACTCAAGGGACCGAGTTGTCGGACGTTCCGTTTAAAGAGCAGGTCGAAAATGATACGGTTGAGTGCGTCGTTTCCGCTGCCATAGGTGAGGCGGGTCGCGCTCAACATGCCGATGATACCGCCTCTCTCTTTACGTAACAACTTCTCTGCTATGCTCGGTTCACCGGGCTTGTCGAAATAGCCGTTGTAACAACTCAGAACTAACATGAAAGGAATCTTTGCGGTTTCCTCAACTTGATCAACAGAGGCATTATCAAAGATTGCTTCGTGCGCCCAAACGATTCTACCCCCGTGTCCTGCATATTGTGCGAGTACAGCACCCTCTCCAAGTGCCTCAATGATTTTATCTTTTGCAACACGTTGTGGCAAGAGTCCGGGATAATCCGCGGGATGTGCTTCTACTTGGTCGACAATATCTTCAAGGAACACCTCAACAGTTTCATAGCCAAGACGGGTGTGATCTTTCGCTATTTCATCGAGGCTTTTCTTGAAGATAAAATCTCCAGAGTTGCTAACTTCGTCGTCAGCAACAGAAATAATCCTTCTTCGCCAATCTCCGTTGGGCGGTGCCTGTTCGTAAGCGATGATCTTGTCAACAACCGCCTCAGCTTGGTTTACGGTCTCAATACTGAGCCTACCAATATAGAAATCGGTGAATTCATCGTGTCCGGAGACGGTCGCGTACCAATGATCTACCGCGGTCCGTCCGAAGGAATCGGTTCGAATATAATGGGTTGGAATGTACCCAGTCAGTTCAGGCGGTTCAGCATAAATATCTGTGTCAATGCCGCGAAAATCGAAGGTGCCATCGCCAAACAGGACGACATACGTCAGTGCCGGCGGTGTCCCAAGACTGATACGCATGTGTTAGAAACGCCTTAATTGCCTTTGGACTCACACCACCATCACCAAATGTATTGTAAATATCATCAGTTGTAACAACCTTCGCGCGGTATCCTCCACCACCAGGGGTCGTGCGCCACGCCGCCAATCTTTGTGCCGCAGATAGGAAGTTAGGGGATGTCACAATTAGATAATCAGCACCGTGCACCGCAGTCGCTAAGTCTGTCGGCGCAACGACATCAATGCGATCGGGTTGACGCAATGCCGTATTGGAAACGGCGATAAATTCTGTACTTCGGGTATCAAGCACTTGGAAAAGCGCATTATATGAATTAGAACGTGCTACGTCTGACTCCACATTAATACCCTGCATCCGAGCGGTGAGATGTGTACCATCCGTCTCAAAGATATGTATCCCCGGGTCACGGAACGCCTCAATTTTATACTGGAGTTTACGCCCTCCGAAATCCGCTCTTGTGAGGTCGGATCGGCAGTAGGCGATTTGAACCATAACTCGTCGGCAACGGCTCGGAAAAGACGCGTATACTCGACAGAAAAACGGTTGAGGTAGACGTGATATGGATATCGGGTGGTATCCTCATCAACGTTGCTGTCAACTCTGGCTAAAGACAACACGTTCTGCTCGCTTTTGACGCTGTCCTTGAGTGTATCCCAAGTGCGCAAGGTACGTCCAACAGTCAGTGTGTCTTGCTGTTCCCACTTAGCAAAGTCAATTCGGACCCCGTTAATAGCGACCAAAATCTCATGTGATACCGGTGTGCCGCCCTGCAAATCAACGGAGATACGTGGCGGATCGAAACTTTTTGCGACATCATAAAGCGGAAATTCGAGACTCATCTCGGCGGCATCGCCCCCATTTTTGATACCGTCCCAGTACCAGAAATCTAAGGCATCAAACCAACCGTGCTTGTCACCCGGCGAAACAGTCTCGGTATGAACAAATTCGAGGTTACTCGTCAGGTAATCCTCTTCAAAATTCACTTTAGAGCGGAAGGTGGGAACCTGTGTCGCTGTTTGGTCTGTGGGACTGGCGGTAATCTGCGGCACCCGAGTGGGAATGCGTCCACTGTTGTCAAGCGTGAGCCAATAGACATTCCAACGGCTATAGCGATTTTTAGGCTTATGACCAAGGAAAAAGATAGCATCGTTCGGGTCAAAACGTCCATCTGCCGCACCACTGATGTAGACAGGAATGTCTCTATTTCCGTGTGTGAGTCGAAGTCTTGCAGGATGCGTTCCAATGAGATCTACCCCCCAGTCGCTCTGCAGAGATGCCGCTGTCACCGCGTAGATACCTGTCTCTTGGATAGACAACTTATAGCGTGTTCCATTACCTCCGTTGGGAATGAGCGTTGGTGCTGCAGGTACCAGTGGACGGGGCGCGCGGAAGCGAGCGGCTTGTTCAGCATTGAAGAGTTGGTGTGAAAACGCACGCTCAAAAGCTTCTGATTCCGGCACAGTTATTCCTTGGTCAGGAAAAATTTGTGAGTTGCTCCCTTGCGCTGTTAGCGGTCCTCCCTGTTTTGTATAGGAGAAACGAATGTTCACTGTGAAGCGTGAATGCAAACGCAGTTGGCGAGTGTTCGGCAGATATTGCACAGGATATAGTGCCAACGCGATAACACGTTGACTACGAATATAGCCTTCACGTACGACCCGAGCAAGCGGATGTCCAGGGATATGAGCGGTTTCCGGAAACCAGTGAGCCATTTCCCTTTGACTGATATGCGCTCCCGCTTTCCGACCAGTGCTGCGAAGCCGAGTGCTGTGAATCGAGTTCTTGTATATCGAAAATGGGAACTGGAACGAGGCGCACACCGGTACGTGTTTCAGCAGGCGCAGCAGAGACATCGACTGCTTCAATTGTAGCTGCCGCGGGTATACCCAACATGAGGCGCGTGACGGGAACTCTGGGGTTTCCCGGTGCGTCGGTGAAGTGACAGTCGGCGTAATGCACCTCTTGATAGCGGATATTATCTCGGATTACCTCAGATATAGTCAGTTCCGGCAAGGTGAATTGAAGGGTGATTCCGTCTGTTGATGTAGTTTGGGTAATCTCTGCGAAGGAATCGGGGTTACAAACCCCTCCTACAAAGATGAGAACTTGGATGCCCAGTATCATACCAAACCTGAATAAAGCGTATACAGGTTTGTGCTCCGCTCCTATCTGTTTTAAGAATAGCATTCAGTTTTCAGTTTTCAGTTTTCAGTTTTCAGTAGCCTTTGTAACAGTAACGGTTATTTTTTTAAACTTCACGTCCTCTTTATTGACTGCTGACCGCTAACAACTAACAACTATTCCTCCGATATCTTGAATACGAAATCTTGTGTTATAAGTGTTTTGTGAAGGGCATATCCTTCATTTTTTAAGCTATGGGCCCTCGCGCATCATTCCTCTACAGAGATTGCTTCGCAGTGAGAACCCTACGGGGTTCAAGGAGTAATCGCTTGAAATTGACCGTCAGGAGACAGAGATGTAATGGAGGGTAGCGCGAGTGCCAATCATTTAAAAAACTTTCAAAATAATTTTTCCAAAATTGCGATTCGCTTCCATATACGCATGGGCCTCTTGCACTTGTGCTAATGGGAAAACGGTGTCAATAATGGGGCGGAGCCTACCGTTCTTCAATTCGGGTAACCAACGATCCATAAAGCGTTGTGTGATAGCGATTTTTTCGTCAATGGGTCGAGTGCGCATGACTGAACCTATAAGTTGGAGCCTATTGCGCATCACTGTGTTGAGGTTAATTTCTGTGATTGTACCCCCCATTAATCCGACTTGCAACAGTCTACCCTTTGTTTTAAGTATGGAGAGGTTCCGTTCAAGGTAGGGGGCTCCAATAAAGTCCAAAACAACATCTACACCTTGTTCATCGGTCAAACGTAAAATCTCAGCAACGAAGTCGTTTTCTTTGTAGTTGATGCCCTCTACCGCACCGAGTGCCTTGCAATTTTCAATTTTCTCTGAGGTCCCTGCAGTGACAAAGACGTTAGCACCAGCATGATGCGAGATTTGGACGCCAGCACTGCCGACACCACTGCCTCCTGCATGAATCAGGATCGTCTCACCGGCTGATAATTTGCCCAAGGTGAAAATGTTCTCATTTGCGGTAAAAAATACTTCAGGAACTGCGGCGGCTTGTTCAAAAGTCCATTCGTCAGGTATCGGCATTGCCATTCGGTAATCAATGACGGCTTGCTCCGCATAACCGCCACCTCCAACGAGTCCAAAAACGCGATCCCCTTTCGCCAGTCCTTCTACAGCAGTGCCCATCGCTGAAACGGTACCAGCGATCTCTAAACCGAGGACTTCAGAGTCACCCGGTGGTGGCGGATATCCACCGCGTCGTTGAATCATATCGGCTCGATTTAAAGCAGTGGCATGGACATCCACTAAGATTTGTGTTTCTGTTGGATTCGGTGATGGGGTTTCGCCTAATTGCAGGACTTCCGGTCCGCCATCGCCAGTCCTAATGATAGCTTTCACTGTTTTACTCCATTTTCTCTGTTAATATTTCATCAAAATCTTCAGGCATCGCAGTATCCAAGAGGTGTGGGACTTGGGGAGGATCCTTCAACACACATCCATCACAGATACATGTCTTTTGACACACATTGTTCAGGCTGCCACGCCTAGGCACTACGATATGTTACGGTAGTCAGTCTATAAGTCACCCCCGCAGAACCTATAGACGTGGCTGTCGCATTCCACAAGCCTCACCCTTTAGGGTGAGGTTACTGACCTAATTTTAACACATTTAGAATTTTAACACATTTAGAAAGGTTATATCAACTTTAAAGGCAGGTTTCAAATTTCCAATTAGTCAGGGTATCGAATGCACAAAAAAATAAGAAGGTTACAACTTTTTAGGTTTGTCAGCGTCTAAAAGAATTGAACCTCTGAAAGAACAAAAAACTATATAAGAAGAGGAAGAAGAAATGGCAAAAAGAAATGTTAAAAGCCCCAAAAAAACCGAGAATCGCCGATTCAACCCGGTGAAAGCGAAGTTGGACTCCATAAACGAATGTTTTAACCAATTACGGCATGGGCTACCGGCAAAGCAAGAAGAATATGTTGCAGGGGATAGGATTACACATTCTTATGTTAAAAGCTGCTTCCTTATGATTATTCAACGTGCTGTGGACATCAATAATGTTATTATCGAATTTAGTGGACAGACACCACCACAGCAAAAGCACCACAGTTTTCGTGCCTTACATCAAAAGTAGTGCTATCGATCGAGAAACCATGGATTTTTTCATGGAGGCTTTAGATTACTACGAGAAAATCGCTAATCCCTACCAAGAACTCGCGCCTTCAGAGGTGTATGATGCCTCCCTTCAGCTCTTGAAGTACGGTGAATTGTACACCCGCCAACTCGAAAATTTCTTCCTGAATCTTTCATGAACACAAAAAATAGGACTTGCGCAACTTTCTTAAGTTGCGCAAGTCCTAAAAAAACAGACACGGTTGTGATAGACCCCCGAATGAATTCGGGAGCTGATGATACTCTCGTTATACCACAAGAGAAGGCACTTGTCGAGAAAAACGCCTTAGTTAAACTCGACAACACCGCCTGTCCCTTTGAGTACAATATCCGGTTTAAGCAGAATTTGTTGTTCCGGTTCCAACTTGAACCCAGTTGGATGGAGAATATAAGCAATTCTAAGCGGGAGATATTGACCTAAATCGGCAAGCCTATCCATATCGCTTTTAAATATTTGCTGTTCGCTCTGCTGGGTCTGATAGGCGTACCAATACTTGAGATACGATCGGATACGGTTGTTGAAAATAATCTCTGAAGAGTTTGCATCAACGACTTTGACACGGATACGACCAATAGCAGTAAGGCGAGTGCGAATATAGGTGGATGTACCGGAAATTCCGCCTTGTCTGCCCTGTTTCATAAGATGTCGGTCGTAGTCCTGCGAGGTTAACTTAGGATTTTCCACCCTTCCGATGATAACCATATCAGTACCGAGTGCCTGTCCGAGTTTTGCTGCCAAAGCAGGATCTGCGTAGATTTGCTCCAGCGTTAAGCCTAATTCTGTGAGTTTATCTGCAACTGGTTTAACTTTGTTTGAGATGTCATAAACCCACTCTGCCTCTTTGAATATTATCTCCAGACGGGTTGCGAGGTTCACGCTAATTCGCCCAGCTAACTTGTTGATGTCCTCTGTCGATCCTGTTTCAGCAAAGAATGGGACAATTGTAATGTGCTTCGCATCGCTAATCGGGGGTGGGGTATCAATGTCAACTTCACCATCACCACCAAAGCAGCCCGCCATTGTAATGCAGAGAAGCGGTATGAATAGAAGTGTAAAGAAACGTATCACTGAAGTGTGCCTCCTATAATTTTGGGCGTAACTTAAAAGCCAAATTTTTGTAGACTGGGTCAGAAATTCTGTCTCTCATCCCAACCTATAATTCGCGAGACTTCTGATGTGATTGCGTCCACTTAAAAATCTCGTCGGCATATCTGATGTCTTGGGCTCAAGGGGATTTCGGTTTCCTGACGATCAGGTTTATAAACCCGCTTCACTATGGGCGCGATTCAGCGATCGCGCCCATATATTGGAAACCAAACTGTGCCATCAAGCACAATTTGTCTTTGCCCTACATTTTATAACAGCATACCATAAATTACAGAAATAGGTCAAGCATTTATCCAATAGCCAATGCTCGAACTTCTCCAAATTCGTGCGAGAGTTTGGTCCATGAGTCGCCACTATCTGTGCTGCGGTAAAGCTGACCACTTACACTGCAAGCGATAAGAAGGTCATTGAACTGCGGATTGTGGGCAAAACACCAGATTGTGCTATTTGCTGTTCTACCGATATCGGATCGGTTCCACGTCTTCCCAGCATCGCTTGTCGAGAAAATCCCGCCTTGATCGCCAGGGAGGACCGTTTCCAGCACCGATAAAGACCCGACCCCGCATTACCATTGAGGAAAAACGCAGCACGACAGTAGGGCCATGGATAGTGTGCCTTGACATTTAATGGCGTCCACTGTTGTCCCATATCTGTAGTTACACAAACATCGTTATTTGTCGCAGCGATGATAGTTTTGGGTGAACCAGGGACTACACAGAGCCCGTGAATATCAAGGCTACTGAGACCTTCGCTGCGCTCAACCCATGTTTCGCCGCCATCAGTACTGAGGTGCATACCATCAATCTCAATCCCAGCATAGAGCATTTGCGAATCTTCGGGATCAATCACGAAGGTTGTGACGCGTGGTATAATCGGAACCCCCTTCGCATTCTTGTGCGAGGTCAGCGTTGAGTTGCTTCCAGTTATCGCCGCCATCAGTGGATTTGAAGAGCGCAGACGGACACGTACCCGCGTAGAGTGTGTTTGGTGTCCTTGAGTCAACAGCGATTGCCCAAACTTCCAACGCATCCATAGGGCTTGAGAGACGATGCCATGATTCAGCGGCATTGTCTGATCGGAAGAGACCACTTTCGGTCCCAGCATAGAGGATGTCTGAGTTACTTGGATTAACAGCTATAGCGCGAACGTCGGCTTCTGGAAAGAGCTCATTACTCGCCCTGCGCCATGTGTCTCCGTTGTTAGTACTGCGCCAGACGCTTTGTCCAATGGTTCCGGCATAGAGTGTAGGTTGCATCTTTTGGATACCTCCATATAGCATATTAAATTTGATTTTCTAGCTATGGGACTCTGGTCACTGCTCCACTACGTTTCGCAGTGGTTTTCGGTGAATTTCAACCGGCTCCAGGTGCTCAAACGGTTCTTAAATCCACGTACAGATCCCCAAATTTCGCATGGAATCACCAGATACCTGTCAGGAGACAATAAATGAAAATGTTTACATTTTCATTTATTCTTCCTGCGTGAAATGTAATGGAACGATGCCCAGGCGGCCATAGTTTAAAAATTGGTTAAGGATCCCGTACCAACGGGTCTCGAATCAAGCGAAACTTTATATATCACAGACTTCGGTGCTATTTCCGGTTCAAGCAGGAACGAGAATCGATATAGGCGGTTATCCTGTAGATTCTGTGTTATGAGATACATCACTTGTGCTTCTCGGTAAGGCCGTTCCGTTTTGCTGTCAGAGAGCATTAGCGTTACAGTGGGCGTTAACCCGATGAGGGGTTCAGCCGATTCAGCGATGATGTCCCAGTAACGCGGATGCACCGGATTCGGAAGTGCAGCGGTGATAAAGGTGATATGTGCACCGCGAGTTGCACTATACTGGTATGCCGAGTTGTGCGCATGAACATTGATGGATTCCATTTGCAAACTGGGAACAAGAAGGACCTCTCTGGCAGTATCCGCTAATACAAGGGAGCCAGTATTACCCGCTGACAATTTTATCTCCTTGATATCGACGGTACCAGTGTTATGAAATTCAATTGCATGAACAGCACTACTCGCTGGAGAACTACTTGAGAACCCAAGTGTTAACCCCTCAGCATCTCTAAAGCCGATATACTCCGCCGAAAAATTGCTCAGCTGCCCCTGCTGCGTGCCGCTTGGATAGGAGTGATGCCAGCGGCGAGGCGTGATAGAAAGTCTGACAGCACGATACTCAGATAAATAGTTAGCCAATTTCCATTCAATGAAGATGTCAGAAATTGTTTGGGTTATCCCCCGAGATGCAAGGGCATCTGAGATACCGGTGAGCGATGTGCCGCGATTTTGGACAATTTCGATAAGTGTTCCTATACCCCCGTATTGCTCGTGAAGATAGAGCATCCACAAGAAGGATGCACCGTAGTGTGGAAGCGAGTCCGCATCTCCCTCCGACCACGTTACAAGCGAGATGGACGGCATTTTTTCAAATGCAGCTACATGTTCCTGCACAGAATAACCGCAGAGAAATGAGGCATACACTGCACATCCCTCATCAACCCAGGTTACTTCCCTTGTATCCTGATGCCAATTGAGGAGGTGTTGAAATTCATGTGCAACAACATTGTGTGCTCTTTCACTGTTCGGATTGAGAGGTTGTGTATCAATATATAGCATCTCCGCTTCGTTACTACGAATCGGAAACCCTCGGAAACCCGGATTTCGAAGTAAACCCCGATGCTGGTCCGCCGGATTGAAAAAACCTGCTGTGTAACGGTCCGCGCCGCGTGCATCTTGAATATTAAGTAGGAGTAAGATAATCCTGCCGTTTCCATCAATATCCGGTGGGGCTCCGAAGAACTTCGTCAACGTCGGATAAATTCCCTGCTGTGGATTCGCTGGCGTGGTAGCGTCAAAGGCACGGATGATTGCCTGCACGGTTCCGGCGGTAACCCGTGTGTTCCACTCAGCTTCCTCAACAAAGACATAGCAGAAACTACCTACACCACGTAGGACAGCAGAGACAGTGTACTGTTGCATACTTCTAAAATCAGGGGCGAAGAAGGTTCGTTCTGTGCCAATTAGCAAAGCAGGCGCAGCCGGCAAGGCAGGAGCAGTCTGGTTTCCGGGTGGAAAAAACTGTTGTTGAGCGTTTGTAGCGTCAGCTACACGCTGTGGGTTTGACAGATGCGGTGTCCCGCAGAGATATGCTGAACTGCTGTAGGGTAATCCCAAAAGCAATAATACAAAGAGCAGATATGAATATGAGATTCTAACGAGCTTTTGTATAGTCATCAGTTATCTCAGCGGGATTTAACGGCATTAAGTCTCTGGCGCAGTTCATCGTTATTTGGTTCAAGTGTGACGGCTTGCTCCAAAGTTTGCAGTGCCTTCTGTTTCAAGCCTTTTCCGAGATAAGCATCAGCAAGATGTAAGAGAACTACAGGTGCATCAGGCAGATAGTGGAGTGCCTGCTCCAAATTTTCTATAGCGGCATCAAGTTTGCCTTGCTTAAAGTAGATGAACCCCAAACTATCAAGATATGCTCCAGATTTCGGTACGCTTTTGAGCGCACGGCGAACCAAAGCCGCGGCTTCATCTAAATTGATGCCCTGCTCTGCATAGAGATATCCTAATGCGTTATACGCATCCGGTAATTCTTCTTCATCAGATAATTCAATTGCCCTACGGAGAGAAGTTTCTGCGCGTTTTATGTCGTCTTGCATTTGATAAGCCATCCCTATACCAGAAAGTGCTGGGACATATTCATCGTCAACAGCCAGTATCTTCTCGAAAGTTTGTATGGCTTTCTGAGGCGCATTGAATTTGAGATAAATCTGTCCGAGGATGTAGCGTGCGTCTTGGATACGTTTAGCTAATTCGACGCGTTCGCTACTTCTGGTACGAAAACCAGAGCGAGTCCGTTTTGCCTGTTCCTCCAGCAAATTGATTACACGCGTGATATGGAATTCAGATCGCTCAAAATCATTTTGTGCCTGATACGCGAGGCTAATACCTTGGTGTGCTTCAATTTCAACTTCGCCGACATCACGCGTAGTGCGCTCCGTTACACTATTCGTCTCCGATTGTCCTTCAAGCGGTGACAAAACAGAGAGAAAAGTCTTGATAGCTGCAGGATAGTCGCCGGTTTGAAGGTAAAGTTGTCCAAGGCGGTTTCGGGCACTTTTCTGTTCGGGTCGAATGGTGACGACTCTTTCATAGGACTGCAAAGCCTCATCAAGCCGATTTTGAATTTCATAGAGTTCAGCAAGTTCCCTATAATATTGGTCCTCATAAGGCATAATGCGTGTAAGTGCCTTGAAGGACGTAATTGCGAGTTCAACATCGCCGAGATCACGCGCCATGCTGCCAAGGTAGTAATGCGCTATATTGTGGTCGGCATCTAACTCAGTCACGCGTTTTAGGGCATCAAACATCTCCTTTTGTAGAACATTAGGTATTTTGCTATTTCTGTTCCGTTCCATATAATAAATGAATCGATTCGTCACTATTTGGGCAAGTACCCATGTTGCTTTTACATTTTCAGGATTAAATTTAATGGCTGTTTTTGCATCCTCTTCCGCCCCTTTGATATCCTGCAGTTTAGGAAACCGGAGTGACGCACGCTCTGCATAAATAAAGCTTATCTCGTGTGCAGATAGAAGCCCGTTTTCGAGGATCACGGTGGAGTCATCATCAATTTCCTTGATTAAGGCATCGTAAAGAGCCTTGCTTTTTGGAATGCTGCGTTCGCCTGTTCTGCAGTATACTGCCCACATTAGGTTGGTATAGAGTTCTGCCGCGCGGGTCATGTTAGCATTTAATCCCGTATCAGCATCAGGAAGTACCACCAACTCAGGGGTCTCACCTCCGGTTTGGGCTTGCAAGTTGGAACCCAGAAGAAGACATGCTGTGATTAAAACAAGGATCAAGAGCCCTATAGACATATTGCTCCGCTGGAGCAAAGGATTTCCTTCTTTACAGGTAAAATGTTTCATTTGACAGTCCCTTGGTAAAATATTTCCCTTGTGGTTCCCCACTTTTAACCATCAACTCGTGCTTTAACATTCATAACGGAGGCGAGTTGATGGTTAAAGTCCTCACGCCAGCGGCGTGATATGTCTATAGCAGGGAGGATGAAAGTTCGATCTTGGCTGCGTCAACAAGCTTTTCGTCTGATTGGAGTGCCATTATTCGCACGCCTTGGGTGTTACGCCCGATACGCCGAATGTCACCGACTGCCGTTCGGGTGACATATCCGTTTGAACTAATGAGAACAAGTTCATCAGCATTTGTGACGCGTTTTGCAGCGACAACTGCCCCGTTTCGGGCAGATTTCCCGATGGCGATAATACCTTTTCCACCGCGTTTCTGCAAACGATAAGCAGAGACAGCCGTCCGCTTACCGTATCCATTTTCTGTAACGATTAACAGTGTATCGTTTCCTTCTGAAGCACTTGTCTCGTCTGCTTCCGATGATTCACTGTTAACAATAACCATTTGTGCGACGAAGTCATCGTCACCGAGTTCTATTCCACGCATGCCTCGTGTGTTGCGTCCAAGAGGTCTAACATCTTTCTCACTGAAGCGTATAGCAACACCTCTGTGGGTGACAAGGATGACATCGGAATTACCGTCCGTTACTTGTGCGCCGATAAGTTTATCGCCATCATCAAGGTTAACAGCAATAATACCGCTTGATAGTGTGTTTTCAAACCTGGTGAGTCCTGTCTTTTTGACAACGCCCTGCTGGGTCGCCATGAAAACGAATTCACCCGCTGCAACCTCGCCGGCATCTGCCTCCTCAACCTCTTCAATTTCTTGGCTGACGACCTTGGGAGGAACCGTAACATAGGCTGTAATGTTTTCACCTTGTGCTAAACGAAGCAGGTTCACTACTGCGCGCCCAGCCGACTGACGACTGGCTTCAGGAATTTGATAGACCTTCAGCGTATAACATTTGCCCAAATCCGTGAAAAACAGAATGTTCTGATGGGCAGTGGCGACAAAAATGTGTTCCAGAAAATCGCCATCCTTTGCCGCAGCACCCCTGATCCCGACCCCGCCGCGGTGCTGCTTCTGATAGGTGTCCATAGGTAACCGCTTCATGTAGCCGGCATGCGATAGCGTGACCACCATCTCCTCATCAGCAATGAGATCTTCGATTTCAAATTCTTTGACCTCACCTATAATTTCGGTGCGGCGTTCGTCACCAAATTTTTCTTTCAGGGTTTCGAGTTCCGTTCGGACAATATCCGTTATCAATGTTTCGTTGGCAAGAATTGCGCGAAATTCGGCGATGTGATCCAGGAGTTCCGTATATTCATCATGAATTCGTTGACGTTCCAGTCCTGTCAACTGCCGGAGCGTCATAGTGAGGATTTCCCTCGCCTGCTGCTCGGTGAGTTGATAAGCGTCTCGGAGCCCCTGTTCTGCCGCTTGCGGTGATTCTGCTGTTTGAACGAGTTCGATAATTGCTTCGAGGTTTTGTAGTGCTAAGAGATAGCCTTCTAAGATGTGGTTCCTGCGTTCGGCGCGTGCAAGTTCAAATTCTGTGCGCCGCCGAACCACATCCCTACGGTGTGCGAGATAGTGGCGGATGATTTCCTCAAGCGTCAGAATCTTCGGAAGCCCCTCTACAAGACAGAGAAGACTCGAACTGAAGTTCGTCTGCATCTGCGTGTGCTTATATAGTTGATTCAGGATAACCTGTGCAATTTCACCGCGTTTGAGAGGTATGACGACGCGAATCTCTTTGTCTGATTCATCTCGGATGTCGTCAATTCCAGTAATAGTTTTACTGACAACCAATTGATACATCCGCTCTAACAGATGGTTTTTCTTTACTTGATACGGAATTTCCGTTATGATGATCTGTTCTCGTTCCGACCCGCGTATGGAAACTCTTTCTATGACCGCTTTGGCTCGGACAGTGATGCTTCCTCTACCGGTGGTATACATCTGCTCTATACCACTGGTACCGACAATAATACCTGAGGTAGGGAAGTCGGGGCCAGGGATGTGTTCCATAAGAGTTTCTGAAGTGGCATCTGGATCCGTGAGTTTATGAAGTAGTGCGTCAACAACCTCAGCGAGGTTGTGCGGCGGTATGCGGGTAAGATAACCAACACCTATCCCTGTTGTGCCATTGACGAGCAAATTCGGTAGTAGCCCGGGAAGGACTGTCGGCTCTTCAAGAGAATCTTTGTAATTGGGCTGGAAATCAACCACCTGCTTTTCAATGTCAGTGAGCATCTCACTGGCAATAACAGTAAGGCGGCATTCCGTATAGCGCATCGCCCCCGGTGGATCGTCGTCAATACTCCCGAAGTTTCCCTGTCCGTCTACTATCGGATAGCGTATGTTAAACGGTTGCGCTAAACCAACAAGAGTACCGTAAATGGGCCCATCACCGTGTGGATGATAGTTCTTCATCACCTCCCCAACAACAGCAGCGCATTTGTCATAAGGTCGGCTTGCAGTGAGATTTATCTGTCCCATCGCGTAAATAATCCGACGGGTACTCGGTTTGAGACCATCGCGGACATCAGGTATCGCACGGTTCGTATTGACGCTCATCGCGTAAGTGAGATACGATGTCGTCAGTTCGTTTTCTATGTTGCGTTCTTGGATGTTTTCCATTCTTTTAACTTTCCTTGCGGTTCGGTGAGGTAGGTTTGGATATTGAAGTGCCTTTCCGTATATCCGCCCTCCATTACATTACGGGCTACGGTTTTTGTATTATCTAGGACTTACGCAGGTTGCTCTTTTGTAGCATAACCTGTTAGGTTGTGCCACGAGAACGTCTGTGTTTTTTTAGAGTTTACCCTCTAACGGAGCGTCATATCGTCAAAATTGTGTAAGTCCTGTTATTTTTAATTTTATCACCAAACCGCGTAGCCTGCAACAACGGCGCAGGCGGATTTGAGAAACACACGCAAAAGTCCTAACGCACGCAATTTCTCCGCAAGGTATAATTAAAATATTAGGCACCGTATACATCAAGATTTACCTGAGTCCCGTAGCGCTCTATGAATTCCCGTCGAGGTTCAACGGTATCCCCCATGAGAAGTGTAAAGATGCGATCGGCTTCGACAGCGTCTTTAAGCGTCACTCTAAGCAGGATGCGTTGGTCTCGACGCATAGTGGTGTCGCGTAGCTGATCAGCGTTCATTTCAGCTAAGCCTTTGTATCGAGTAATCGCGAGACCGCGATGTTCTAACTCAAAAAGATGTTGCACGAGTGAGGAAATATTGTCTGCATGGTAGGCTTCGCCACTTTCCGGCTGAACGCTAAACAATTTTTGGATTTTTGCTGTACCTGAACCATTCTTCTCGTCTGAGGAAAGAAAGTCTGTCTCTTGAATGTCAAACACTACAAGTTTCTCGAGTTCACGCCGCAGTTCGTGGTACCAGGTCCGTGGGGTGGCATCTCCGATATTCAGCTTGCCAGTTTTTTCATCGGTTGTGCTGCGCCCGGCATCTCCGAAGAGCGTAGTTTGCATGCCGGTAGTGGAAACCGGATCCTCAGAAGTTTCCTGCGCTACGGTTAGAGGATCATTCACCTGAACAGGTGACACCTTAAGCATGGAAAGTAGTTTATCTACATTGTCGGATGTGTCCGCTGGATCTGGAGTCTCACTCCTCAAACTTGAGAGCAGTACACCGCTCTGGTTGATTTGATCAATGAGACCTTGAATCTTACGAATAGCACTGGCGATGGTCCGATACTCTGATGACGTATAAGGCGCGTCCCTCCGAGCGTTCGTTATCTGGACGGTATCAAGTGCTAAGGTGAGGAGGTAGTCTTCCATTTCCGCCTCATCTTGCAGGTACTGTGAATTTCTGCCCTTTCTAACTTGGTAAAGTGGCGGTTGGGCAATGTAGAGATGTCCACCGGCGATGAGTTCGGGCATCTGCCGGAAGAAGAAAGTTAAAAGCAACGTTCGGATGTGAGCACCATCAACATCGGCATCCGCCATAATGATAATTTTGGCGTAGCGGAGTTTTTCAAGACTGAACTCTTCAGCACCGATCCCCGTTCCCAATGCCGTGATGATGTCAATGACTTGGGCATTTTTGAGAATCTTGTCAAGCCTTGACTTGTCTACGTTGATGCCTTTACCTTTAAGAGGAAGAATAGCTTGGTTCCGCCGGTCCCTTCCCTGTTTGGCGGTACCGCCGGCGGAGTCCCCTTCAACGAGGAAGAGTTCAGTTAAGGTTGAATCCCGCTCAGAACAGTCAGCAAGTTTTCCCGGCATAGAAGCGGAGTCAAGGACACTTTTGCGGCGGATAACTTCACGTGCGCTGCGGGCGGCTTCGCGAGCTTGAGCGGCTTGGATTGCTTTTTGGATGATGCGTTTGGACACAGCAGGATTTTCTTCCAGAAGCGTTTTGAGCCGGGGACCAATAAAACTCTGAACGATTCCTTCAACCTCTGTATTTCCAAGTTTCGATTTTGTCTGTCCTTCGAATTGCGGATCCGGAACTTTGACGCTGATGACTGCAGTCATTCCTTCGCGGATGTCTTCGCCAGTGAGATTTATCTTGGCGTTTCGCAGAAGATCGTTGGCAGTAGCATACGTTTTGAAGACACGAGTAAGGGCACTCTTAAAGCCGCTCTCGTGAAACCCACCTTCAGCGGTACGAATGTTGTTGGCGTAGGAACTAATGTTTTCTGTGTAGGTAGTATTGAACTGAAAGGCGATCTCTACTCCGATCTCTGACTCAATACCCTCTATGTAGATGGGTTCGGAATGCAAGACTTCTTTGTTTTGGTTATGGTAGGTAACGAAAGAGGCAATTCCGCCATCGTATTGAAAAGCAATTGGTTCCGAATTTTCATCATCACGAGCGTCGTGAAATTGGATCCGTACGCCTTTGTTAAGGAAGGCGAGTTCTCTAAGCCGGTCCCGAAGAACATCGTGTGAAAAGTCGAGCGTATCAAATATTTCGGAATCTGGCATGAATCTGGTATGGGTGCCTGTTTTGTTGCTCTTACCAATTTTCTCTACAGGTGTCTGTGGAATACCGCGAGCGTAGCGTTGTTCGTAAATTGTGCCGTTTTGCGTAACTTGAACGTGGAGCCATTCAGAGAGGGCATTGACGCAAGAAGCACCAACACCGTGCAAGCCACCAGCGGTTTGGTAACCGACTTGTTCTCGACCATCAAATTTACCGCCAGCGTGCAGTGTGGTCATAACTACCTCAAGGGCAGAAACTCCTGTCGAGTGAGTATCAACAGGAATGCCTCGACCGTCATCAGTGACGGTTACACTGCCATCGCTATGGAGCTTAACTTCGACATGTGTCCCGTAACCGGCACTGATTTCGTCTATAGAGTTGTCAACCAGTTCTGTGACGAGATGGTGTAATCCAGAGGGACCGGTGCTGCCGATGTACATGCTTGGACGTTTTCTGACAGCTTCAAGTCCTTCAAGGATTTGTATATCGCTTGCTGTATATGTTCGTGCTTCTTTTGACATTTTTAATTATGGTGCCTCGCTATAAATTACCCTAACGGGAACGGTTTGCTTCGCAGTGAGAATTTTTAGTAGAGTTGGTATCCATTTGTTGGAAAATCCCTTGTGTACCTCCTTACGATCACGTTACTTAACGTAATTAATATTGTACCTTATTTTAACAATTTTGTCAAGGTTTGTCCTTGCTTTGTGCCATGAATAATTGCCACAAGGATTTTTTTAATTGCGGGTCCGACACGCTTGTGAGAGCTTGTTCAATTTTCTCTAACTGTTCAGGTGTGACTTGGTTACTGATAATAGAGTTTTCTTTTGACGTTTTTGGGCTTGAGGACCGGTTTTCTGCCTCATGAGGTTTCGTTGCACGTGCTGGGCGAATTTCTATTCGAAGGTCCGTGAGAACAGGTTGCCCTAATTTGGCGTTCAAATCGGCTATGATCTTCTGTTTGAGGAGCGACAGTTCTGTTATGTAAGCGGAGTATTCTGTATAAATCTTCAGGATACCATTCGACAATGATACGGGGACTGTTCCTGTACCAAGCGGCGTGCCAAGGTATTCCCGCCAGAGAGCGAAGACTTTTTGTTCAAGCATCTTAGGCCCAAGGTCGTGTGTTCGTATGAGTTCAGCGAGGAGATGGTGTAAGTTTTGGGTTTTGTCTTTCAATTTTTAAACTATTGACTTTTAAGCGTTGCTCTACTTCGTTCCGCAACGGTTTTCGGTGAATTCAAGTCCTGCTTTAGGTGTGGGGTGGCACTTGATTTAACCGGAAGCCACCGCGCAATGTAATGAAGCGGTGCCCCAGGGACCAATCATTTAAAATTAGTTTCGGGGGTGTGGTTTATCTGGGCGTTCTCTACTGTTAGGACGTTTGGTTGATTGAGGTGGTGCACGAGGGGTTCAGCATGGGTCGCAGTAATGAAGGTTTGCGCGCTCAAATTTTGGAGGACGTTTAATAGGTACTCTGTTCGCTTGTAATCTAATTCTGAAGTGACATCGTCCAGAAGGACGATCGGATCCTGTCCCGTCACAGTTCGGATTAACTCTAACTCTGCCAGTTTAAGTGCTAACGCTATCGTCCGTTGTTGACCCTGGGACCCGTAAGTTCTCGCTTCCCTCTCGGAATGTTCCGATTTCGGATTTTGGAAGTGGATTTTGACTTTGGGACGCTGCGTGGTCTATCTCCTCTTTCCCAGCGTCCGTGGCTTCCAAGCGATTTTCGCTTTCGGAATCAAGGCTGGATGTTCCAGACGCGTTCTCCAGTTCGATGAGAAAATCGTCGCGATGCGGTCCGACGAGGGTTGTGCCTCTCTGTAAATCAGCACCGCGCGATGCATTTAAAGCTACGTCGAAGTCCTTTGCTATCTCGGTTTCAGTTTTGGTCTCCAGGAACCCAATCTCTGATTCTTCTATTAGATTTTCAGTGTTTTCGTCCTCTGTGTCATGTGTATTACGCATTGACGTATTGTTCCCCACTAATGTGGAACAATACGTCAATGCGAGGTTTTCTTTACCACCAGTGAGTTTTTGGTGATTTTGCATAGCGTAGGCTTTTAATTGGTGAAAAATTTCTAATCGCTTTATGATAATTGCAGCACCATGTGCAATTAAAAGTTTGTCCCAGACATCTAACTGTACCGCATCCACGAACGTCGTACGAATTTGTTTAAGAAGTTCGTTCCGTTGCCTGAGAACCAGTCTATATTTCTGCAAATTTTTTAGGTAAGTGCTGTCGATTTGTGAAATGAGCAAGTCCAAAAACCTTCGGCGCTCTGCGGGGCCGCCCTTCACTAATACCAGTGATTCTGGTGAGAAGAGCACCGCATTAAACTGCCCAATCCATTCAGAGCGTTTCGTTTGAAGCACCCCATTCTTTTTCAGTTTAAACTGCCCACGCGTGCGCTTCATCGCCTCAAGCGACATCACATCGTTACTACTGTTTCCCAACGTTCCTCTCAGATAAAATCCTGCTTCGTTGTGCCGAATGAGTTCACCATCACGAGTTGCTCGGTGTGATTCAGCAGTACAAAGGAAATAGATTGCTTCAAGTAGACTTGTCTTTCCTTGCGCGTTCCCGCCAATAATTAGATTGACAGGCTTGGAAAAACTCACTTCGCAATCAACATAGTTACGGAAGTTGCGGAGAACAATATTATTTAGTAGCATTTGTTTTAGGTACTGAAAATTACCTTAGCTTTTGAGTGCTGTTTGATAACTTTTCTGTTTGATAACTTTTCTGTTAATAGTTTTTCTGCTTGATAACTTTTTCGAGTTATCCACAATTCCTAATATTAGTACTAATTACGATATATATATAAATAGAGTAGTAGTAGTAATAGGGGCTGTGGATAAGTGGATAACTCGTTTAAACGCTTACCATCATTGACAAGTACCCGTTGATAGATTGTTGATAACTTTTTCAGTTATCAACAGGTTATCAACAAATATGGACAATTTGTGACTTATCAACAATCTATCAACAATCTATCAACAGAGATTGACACCGTTATGCACAGGTTATCAACACCCTTAACGAACGACGTAGAACTAAAAAATGGAAACTTGGGACGACAAAACCGGCGGATTAAGTTAGCGGAATTGATCGAGTAATAGGAGAACCATTTGTCGCGCTTCGTCATCTTCCTGAATCATTTTTTCTACCTGTCTGCAGGCATGAATGACAGTTGTATGATTTTCCCTATTAAACGCCTGTGCAATATTTGAATACGACATTTGCGTCAGTTCTCTACACATGTACATAGCGATCTGACGCGGTTGCACCAATTCCTTTGTCCGTTTCTGAGATACGAGATCCTCTGTTTCGATGCCAAAGTAATCGGTGACAGTTGTTTGTATGGCTCTTGATGTAGCAGTTTTTCGATGTCGAATGGGTGAAGGGGTCCCGACATCACTCAGTACCTGCCGCGCGAAGTCCAAAGTCAAGTCTTCTTTGAGTATTGTCGCTTGAGCAATTAGCCGCACAAGAGTTCCTTCCAGTTCTCGGATGTTGGTTGTGACCACTTCAGCGACGTAACTGAGCACATCATCAGGGAGGTTATCCAACCCTTGGTCTCGGCATTTCTGCCGGAGAATAGCGATACGTATTTCGTATTGTGGCATGCTAATTTCGGCGACCATGCCTGATTGAAACCGAGATTGGAGGCGTTCTTCAAGGTTTTCGAGGTTGTCTGGTGTCCGGTCACTGCTCATGACTATCTGGTTTGAGTTCATATGAAGGGCATTAAAGGTATTAAAGAACTCCTCTTGTGTACCCTCCTTGGCTTGTAAGAACTGTATGTCATCAATCAAGAGCATATCTGCGGTTCGGTATTTTGTCCGGAATCCTTGCGCCGATCCGCGGTTGACGATGGACTCGACGTACTCGTTCATAAAGGTTTCTGATGTGACGTAGAGGACTTTACTATCTGGTTGATATGCTAAAAGTCGATTACCAATTGCATGTAGCAGATGGGTTTTTCCCAATCCGACACCGCCATAGATAAAGAGCGGGTTATAATCGCGTCCGGGGTTTTCTGAAACCGCTAAGGCTGTCGCGTGACAAATCATATTGCTGGAACCAACAATAAATCTATCGAACCGATAACTCGGATTCAATCCTGTCTCATTCTGTACCGATGGCATGGGGGCGTGAGTGTTCGATGTCCGCCTTGAATTAGGCAATTGGTTGAAATTTCCTTCGTTCTGCGTTCCCCCAAAGTCTTCACTGCCTTCGGACGTCGGTTCGTCTACGGTAAGGATAAGTGCACATTGTGCCCCGATGAGTGTTGCCAACACCCGTTGGATATCAACACGAAAACGCTCCTCAATCCTTGCTCGCGTGTACGCAGAAGGGACGGCTATATTCAACGCGTCCGTTGTAATTGAAAGCGGGACCGCTTGGTGAAGATAGACATCCTGCCGCGCTGTATCACTGAGTCTTTCTAATATTTCCAGCCAAACTTCATTTGGGGTGTGCCGCATGAGCATATTTCCTGTAAGAAACTATGATAAAATCATGATACCATTTTTATGAAAAAAATCATTTTATAAAGAATATCGTATCATTATATTGCAGAAATGTCAACATTTTTTGTAGAGAACTTGCTTTGATTTACAATTCATGTTATAACTTCTGCTGACAAAATATTCTGGACTAAAATCGAAATTTTATCAAGTTCAATTACAACCCAATGCATTTTTTTGTAACCTTTTCATCCAATTTTTACACTATTCTAACGTGAGTTCGGTAAAAAATTCCTACGGTGCATTGCAGACCTGTGATAGGATAGACATTGGAAACACCTCTTTTGTAGAATCAATTCAATCGTCTTTTCTACATTATAAAGATATTACCCCGCTTTTGGAAAATGTGACAGTCTTTCATGGTGCTATAGAAGTATTCGCGTCCCATTATAGATCGGAGGCGATTGACAAAGTTGTCGGCATTGATGCAAGGGGATTTATTCTCGATGCTGCCCTTGCATATTGGAATCATCACGAACCCGAGTGCAACGTTTACATACCCATTCAACTCAAGCTCAGATAATTGGAGAAGGTATTGAGCAATACAAGGAATTGAAAATGTCAGAAGAAGCAACATCCCCTCAGATGCCGCCGGAAAAGGCGTACCGAAAATTCTTGGGTTTAGAGATTTACTTGACTCCTGTGTTCGTGATTTCCAGTATCACTATTATCACATTTGTAATTGGCACACTTGTTTTTCAGGAAAGTGCAACAAGCGTTTTCACGAATACGCGCGTGTGGCTGACGACAAACCTTGATTGGTTATTCCTCATATCAATTAATCTCGTGCTTCTGTTTTGTATATTTGTTGCATTTTCTTCTCTCGGCAAGGTGCGCTTCGGAGGGCCAGATGCGAAGCCCGAGTTTTCCTACTTGACGTGGATCGCCATGCTCTTTGCTGCAGGGGGTTGATACGGGGCTACTGTTTTTTGGGGCGGCGGAACCAGTTACCTACTTTCAGAATCCGCCGCTCAACATTCCGCGTGAAACGGTGGAAGCCGCTGCCACCGGGATAGCAGCAGCAAGTTATCACTGGGGGCTGCATGCTTGGGCTACTTATTGTATTGTCGGGATCGCCGTTGGGCTCGCCGCTCACAATAGGGGACTCCCACTCACCATCCGCTCAGCGTTTTATCCGATATTCGGTGACCGGATATGGGGCTGGCCCGGACACATCATTGATACAGTTGCTATTTTCGCAGCACTTTTTGGACTCGCAACCTCGCTCGGATTGGGGGTCCAACAGATTAGTATCGGCCTCAATTATCTGTTTCATATACCCAATAACGATGTCACGCTGGTAGTGATGATCTTACTGATTACCGCGATGGCACTTATATCTGTGTTGACAGGACTTCATGGGGGTATCAAACGTCTCAGCCAATTCATCATTATTCTTGCGTTTTTGCTGGTGGGTGCTATGGTTATTCTCGGACCGACGCGCTACATTTTCCAAAGTCTGTTCGCTGGTGCGAGTCAATATGTGGTGAAGATGATCCCCCTCAGCAATTGGACCGGACGCGAGGATACCACCTTCCTGCACGACTGGACAGTCTTCTATTGGGCGTGGTGGATTGCCTGGGCACCGTTCGTCGGCACCTTCATCGCCCGAATTTCAAAAGGGCGCACAGTGCGAGAACTCGTAATTTTTGTGATTTTTTTCCCAGCACTCCTCTGTTTCGTGTGGTTTAGTACCTTCGGCGGAACCGCACTGGGTCAGCACATCGTTGATGGATATACGGGCGTGACAGATAATGTTGCCGCTGGGAAACTCGAAATCGCACTTTTTAAGATGTTTGACGAGCTACCTATGAGGGTGCTCTTGTCCTCCGTAGCGATGGTTCTGACACTTCTCTTTTTCATTACTTCGTCAGATTCAGGTTCTCTGGTAATTGACATCATCGCAGCTGGCGGAAAGTCGGATGCTCCGTTCCCCCAACGGGTTTTCTGGTGCTTGATTGAAGGGTTCGTCGCGATAGCCCTGCTGCTTGGTGGCGGGTTAGTCTCCTTGCAAGCGGCAGTACTCGCGACCAGCGTCCCTTTTACCCTGGTTCTCCTTGGTATGTGTCTCTGCTGTGATTTCAAAAACTTGGATAGCACAATTGCAACCGAAGAGTCCCATTAAAATCGGCGGGGCAATGCGGGTAAACTATGTCTACGGTGCTTACGGTGACGGCAAAACCGCGAAATCCGTGTCATCCGCGTAAATTCGAGATTCAGACAATTGATAAAATATTTACACACCCAAAATGGCAAAAAATTTGACAAACATCTAAAAATAGAGTATCATTTTAAAGCCAAATATAATATCACTTTGGCGAAAACATTTTTTTAATGATTAAACCTGGTCACCGCTCCACTACGTTTCGCGCCCCTCCCCAGTAACGGGTGGGGACCCCGGTTTTTAGTTAATTCTAATCGCTTTCTTTAACGATTAACCCAAAGTGCAAAGCCTGAAACGAAGTGGAAGGCGGATATACGGCGAGTTCGTCAAATCCCCAAGTGTTCTAACCGAACCGCAAGGAAAATTAAAAACATGAAGCGCACATATCAACCGCATCGTCGGAAACGCAAAAATAAAATGGGCTTCCGGAAACGGATGTCCACACGGCATGGCAGGCAAACGCTTGCGCGCCGCCGCGCCAAGGGACGGAAAGTCCTGAGTGCCTAAAAGTGGTTATCGGTTCGGGGTGCTACGCAACCCTTTCAGTTTTCGTAGGGGTTGGGTTACCCAACCCTTACAGAGGTTTTCGTTTAACAAAATCCTCTCGAAACTGATACCATTTCTGATTGGAATTATAGCATAGACTGTGAGTCTGTGCGTTCTTGTAGTTGGCAACCTTTTCCTCTGAAAAACCGAAAACCATTTCTCTGGTCGGGTGTTTGTAGCGGTGGCTGAAATAACGTGTTATTTGGATAGAGACACCTATCTGGCTTGTGAAATTAACTTCAAAGTTGTAGCCCGTAATGTAATGGAGGGCGAATTCTCTGAAAGGAACGTCAAATTTCAAGCCTACGTTGTTTAACCGCAAGGTAAAATTAAAAAATGCCCCGAACTTTTAAACTCCCTCACTTCTATCATAGTCCGGTGATCTCTGTCGTTAAGCATGCGCGTCGAGAAACGGATGCCCGAAAGCGAGATCTTTCGCCAACCTTACTGGATTTCGGACCTGTCCGTTTTAAAATCGCCCGCCATTTTGGGTTTTGCTACGGTGTTGAAAATGCTATTGAAATTGCCTATCAGGCGTTAGCAGAAAACCCGGACAAACGTATTTTTCTACTATCCGAGATTATTCACAACCCGCGTGTTAACGAAAACCTGAAACATCGAGGTGTCCAGTTCCTAATGGATACCGCCGGTACGCCACTCCTCCCTTTGGATATTTTAATGCCTGACGATGTGGTCATCGTTCCTGCCTTTGGGACGACCCTTGAAGTAGAACAGGCGCTCAAAGCGCGCGGCGTTACCCTCACATCCTATAACACGACGTGTCCATTCGTTGAAAAAGTTTGGCGGCGGAGTGAGGAAATCGGAAAGCAGGATTACACAGTCGTTATCCACGGAAAACGCTACCATGAAGAGACCCGGGCGACATTTTCCCATGCACAAGCGGGGGCTCCGGTTGTCGTTGTTCGTGACCTTTCGGAGGCTCAGGCTTTAGCCAAGGTGATATCGGGTGAAAAAGATACCGCGTTCTTCTTTGAAAAGTTTGCAGACCGATTCTCTCCGGGTTTTGATCCCATTGTCCACCTCAAGCGCATCGGTGTTGTCAACCAGACAACGATGCTTGCCACCGAAACGCAGGCAATTGCCGACTTACTACGGGAGACGATCAGGACGAGGTATGGGGACACTGGGGACGCTGATATAGGGGCACATTTCGCGGATACGAGAGACACGCTCTGTTATGCCACTAAGGAAAACCAGGACGCAACGCTCGCACTCATTGCTGATGGTGGAGACATTGCGGTTGTCGTTGGCGGTTATAACTCATCGAATACGAGCCATCTCGTGGAACTTTGTCAGCAACGTCTCCCGACGTATTTCATTCGAGATGCAGACGAACTGCTGAGTCCGAAAGAGATTCGACACCTTGAGTTGGAAACGAAACAGGTGAAGACCACAAAGGATTGGCTTATTCAAAAAAGCAGTCAGCAAAATAGCCATCAGCAGTCGTCAGTCCCTTCACCAGAAAACCTCTTAACCGATAACCGACAACCGACAACCGACAACCATACAACTGACATTGTGTTGACGGCTGGTGCGTCTTGTCCTGATGTGTTACTGGACGAGGTATTACAGAAAATCGTCGGATGGTTTCCGAATACCCGCTCCGTAGAAGAAGTCTTGGAGAGTTATCAGGATAAATATTAACATCGCTGAAACGGTTTTTCCCTACCTCATATCCGTAATGTCCGTGAGGGTATTGTGGACGACTCGATACTTTACTCACCCATAGCGTGCTGTGTTACCGATGAAGTAACAACAGTTCCCTACTTTACACGAGTTAACTAATATATTTCACAATACGGTATCAGCGGGTATCGCTGTGCTGTTTTCTTCCTGCCCGTCCTGTCTCCGCTTTATTCAGCGGAGATGGAACGGTTTTTTTGTGGCATTGTGTCTTCCTCGATACGGGTTATCCTCAGATGTTTTCACTCTTTTTTTGGATTATGCACGTTTTTCGCTCAAAAATGCAGTCTTTAGGTACAGGTGGGTGAAGGTTTAGATTTAACCGTTCATTGAACACTGATGCAAGTTATGTTATGCCCCCTTTTGACCGAAACTTGTGTCCTTAAATTATATAGGACTTACGCACGATGCGATAAATCGCATCACTACAAACAGAAGGAACTTTGAAGGATACCGTTTTTCAAAAGGAGCATGGTTCGTAGTCGCGCAATTCATTGCGCTTTGCGTAAGTCCTGATTATAGAGAAAATGTGTGTTTGATAAAAGTAGCATGTTGGATTATCGTAGGTAGATAGGAGGACCTCAGGTTTCAATGACGCGACATACATTACATGGCGACTATAGTGACATCATCGGCGACAGTCCGCAGATGTTTGAAGTCCTACGCCAAGTTGAACGCTTCGCAGAAACATCGACGAGAGTCTTCATTTCTGGCGAAACGGGGACAGGTAAGGGGATGGTCGCGCGTGCGCTGCACAAAAACAGCGGTAGATCAGGAGAAATGATTTCTGTCAACTGCACATCAATACAAGAGACTTTACTGGAGAGTGAGTTGTTTGGACATGAGAAGGGCGCGTTTTACAAGTGCCGAAGCACTGCATATCGGTAGGTTTGAACGGGCAGACAAGGGGACCCTCTTCTTGGATGAGATCGGAGAGATGCCGCTTTCCATGCAGTCGAAACTGTTACATGCGGTTGAAGAATCTGAGATTGAACGCGTTGGTGGCGAAAAGTTGATTCCGATAGATGTCCGAATTATAGCGGCTACCAACAAAGATCTGGAACAAGCCGTTAGAGATGGGAGGTTTCGTGAAGACCTCTATTATCGGTTAGATGTTGCCAGTATTTCCCTGCCGACGCTGACGGCACGACGCGAAGACATTGAAACGTTGGCCCTGCACTTTCTTGTGAAGCATCTCCGACCCGAAGCATCAGAAATTCTACAGGTGGCACCGAGGACCTTGGTTCTTCTCAAAAGTTATCCGTGGCCCGGAAATGTGCGGGAGTTGGAAAATGTGGTTGAAACGGCATCTCACCTCGTCAAAGGGCAGATACTCTTACCGGAACACTTACCGGAAAAGTTTCATCCATATCATAATCACCGATTGCACATCTCTGAAGGACCCGCTACACCTGAGAATGCCCAAAGCGTGACGGTTCCGATCGACATGACGCTTGAAGAGGTGGAGGAAACGTTCATCCGTAAAGTGTTAGCCTCGCTTGATGGGAATCGGACCCAAGCTGCGAAAACGTTGGGAATTGGCAGAAGCACGTTGCAAAGGAAGTTGAAAGGATATAATTAGGATTTACGCAGGGTGCTGTTTTGTAGCATAACCTGTTAGGTTGTGCCTGAAAACCGTCTGTGTTTTTTTAGGGTTCTGCCTCTCACAGTGCATGCCACGGTCAAAACTGCGTGAGTCCTGTGATATTTATTTAGGTGATGTTGACTCTTACGAATAGGACCTTTCGACTTTTCTTTTTCCTTGTTTGAAAAACATAGGTATGTTAACATCGTATAAACGGTATCAGCAGTTTTCTGGACTTATGGCACTACAGCCCTTCCGTAGAACGCGCGAGTGTGGAAACGCAGATAGAATGAGGCGAGTCACATGTATCAATATGATGCACTGTATCAAAATGATGCGGTTCAAAATGGGTCTGCATTTGACGTGACAATAGAGAGTTTGAGAATAGTGAGAAGATTCTATTTCTTGGGGCAGTTTTCAGTAAACCGAGTGTGTGCTTATGTTTTGGAGGTGTTTTCATAAACAGGTTTCTCTTAATTTCAGTGGGTTCGACAGGGGTGCGTATTTTACTAAAGGGGTTGGCACAAAACTTGCTAACTATAGAATGTGAGTTTCGACGCAAACGCGTCGGTTTTCATACCGAACTCACATTTCTTGTAATGGCAGCCTCTCGATTTTGAGGTGCGCCGATGGTATTACCAGTACCACCGACGCGGCACTGCCATATCGAGTTTTAGAGTACTATGACAGTGTTGTGTTTCTATTTTAACAGAAACCAGCACACTTGACAAGAAAGGATTGCCACGGACGTAATACGCCCTCCCTGTTGCCTTCCCAAAGCAATCCGCAATAAAATAGTGGAGAATTTTATGAAGAAAATAATGTCCAAATCGATTATTGCCCTTTGCATTGTTGGGACCGGGGTAATAGCGTTCGGGCTACTCAACCCACAGGTAGAGGCAGATCCTGCGTATTATATTGTAAAGCACACGACCGTAGATTGTTACGAACAGGATGGGTCGCATATGGCGTTTTGTAGAAGTTTTACAGTGACGACTGCATTTCCGGTACAACCCTGGAGCGGACATCAAAATGACGCCGTTCACGCCAGCCATTATCGTACAAACGATACCGTCGAGTATGGATCCGTGCCCAGAGTCTATTCAAGTTGTAGTTCCTGCTACTAATTGGGTGAAGTTCTTAGAATCTCCTTGTTGATGCAAGGACAACGGAACCGCTGTATCAACAAGGAGATTTAAAGGGAGGTTAGATGAGAAAACTGACTGTCGCTGCTATCATTTTTATTATTTTCGTAAGTGGTTTTGTGGCCTACACAGAGTGGGAGAAAAGAAGATTCATCAACAGCCTGCCCAAACCGCCAACTGTCAAACAAACTGTTGAAACGCATTCCCATCATCATGACGAACCTGAACAGGTGTCTCCATCAAATATCGTTGATTTTGAGTCTGAAGTCATTGTCGAAGAGCACACAGACTCAGCGGAGTTACCCTCCAATGATGAATTTCAACCTGCTGATGATTCTCCCCCTGCTGATGATTGGCGATTTGATGTTGCAGATATAGATGAGTCCGCACATCAACACACCAGCCCCTCATTCGAGCAGAGGCTTGAGGTACATCCCGACGAAATGGATCCGGATGAACTCGCAGACATGTTGCTCCAGGGACTACTTCAACGGTTTGGAGACATTCCAGAGGTACACACATTTATGGCATTGAAACGGAGAATGTTTAAAAAAGAGCATCTCAATTTGGATGAATACATTGATTATACGGCTGCCCAATTACATCTCTTCCCTCATCCGGAAACTCAGAAAACGCTCGATATTCTTTTAGAGAGAAGAGCCACTGAGTATCCAAGAGGGACTAAACTCGTGAGGTAAAATTAGATGAAAACATTACTTGGGATTTTTATGCTAACACTCTTGTTATCAGGTTGTGGTCCCAGACACGTCAACGAGACTGTTCAAAACACATCCTCGCTTGATACGCGGGATTCCAAAGAACCTTTTGTTCTCGTCAATCCACTCAAGGATGATCCAGAAAATCCCAGTCCGCATAATCCTCTTATCAAGAGATTTGGGGATATCCCGCAAGTTCGCACGTATATGCGGTTACACCAAAAAATATTAAGCGGCACTCCACTTACGCGTGATGAGGCGATAGATTTCTTTAGCGCAGAGTTCCACTTATATCAGTCTCCATCCACTGCGGAAGCACTCAAACGCCAAAAAGAAAGCAAAAAAAGAGACGAGAAGTTCGGATTCTCCGCTGATCTACCTGTATTCAGATATACCGGGAAAAAAATAATAGATTTTAGTCGTGTCGACCATGGCGGCAGTATTAGCGTAACGATAATCGACCCAGATGGTACCAAGACGATAATAGATCCGAACCTGAATGACGGCGAACCTCTGCTAATTCCCCCTGTTGACGCAGACGCAAGTTATGATGATCGACCTAGATGGTACCAAAACGATTCACATCAAGATGATAATAGATCCGAGCCTGAATAAGGAACAGACACCTTTGTTTGATCTTGACGAACACGCCCTGATTAGACGCACCCAACAGGGCGGTACCGAAGCCTTTACCGCTATCGTTGAAAAATACCAGCCCCGCTTATATCGTCATATCCACCGACGCGTCAAAGATACTGAGACGGCTAAGGACTTGACCCAAGAAGCATGGTTGAAAGTGTTGCGTGCCATCAATTCGTACCGAGGCACCGCCGCCTTCTCTTCATGGCTCTATCGGATTGCTGAAAATGTGTGTATCGACTTCTTCCGCAGACAGAAGTATCACACCGAACCGCTTCATCTCATTGACGAAACCCGCATCACCGAGACCGACCTGTGTCCGAGTCGTAGCGTGGAACGCGCCGAACTCCGAGAGCACCTTCAGACAGCCCTAACGGCACTCACTCCCATCCGCCGACACGTCTTTCTTCTTTACTACCACCACGGACTGCCCATCAAAGCCATCGCAGCAGAGATCGAACGCTCCGAAGGCACGGTTAAAACACACCTCCGCAACGCCCGTCTGCAGCTCCAAAAGTTCCTCACGCCCTACGTGGAAAATCGACACGTGCCTTGGCTTGCATGAGCTTCTGCGTTTTACGGGTTTCAGGAGCATTCGGTTTTCGGTGAGTTTTTGATGACTTCAGGTTTATGCCTCTAATGCCTGCCGGAATGCCCGAAAATTCGGTGCCAGCGAAGCGTTTAGATTCAACTGCTTGAGGCGGTTGAGATCCGCAATCGCTAGCGAATTTTAACTTGAAAAAATGTGCAAGATATGTTAAACTTAAAATGATCTTGGCTCAATAGCTTCGGTGCGCCTGTCCGTATGGGTGAAAAGTGACGGATCTTAGCTCAGACAGGTTCCGTCGCCTAAACTCATACAAATTGTGTGTATCAAGTGAATATACAAACCATCCGTAGCAGAATTCAAGAAGGCAGCTACCTTACTAAGCCTCATGCTGTGCAGCATGCGTTGAAAGAAGGCTTTCGACGCAAACACATGATTGAAGCGATTCTCAGTGGCGACATAATTGAAGAATATCTTGATGTGCAGCGAGTCTTGGTTTGTGGACATGTCATCTTAGATGATATCACAATTTATCTGCATGTGGTCTGTGAATATGCCCATCCGGTCTATATTGAATTTGTGACTGCGTATATTCCTGATGCGGTTCAATGGGAACCTCCAACCTTCAAGCGTCGGAGACGCAAAAGGAGATAATTTATGACACACAAACCGACTCCAATTTGTACCCAACACGACACAGAAAAAGTGTGGCAGCAGACTGTATTTGAATATAGCGAGGATGGCATATCTGTCCGAGTACAAAATGTCTGGGCATGGGTTTGTCCCAAAGATGGAGAAGCCTCTTTCACGCCGGAGACGGTAGATGCCTTGATTGATACAGTCAAAGAACTTGTTGATACCGCCAAACGTGCCAAAAAGCGGAGCCCAGCGTTAACTGACTATGCCGTCGCTGTTGGATAAAATCATTTGCGGCTACCATCCTCCAAATTTTGATGTCGGTGCTCCAAATCCGTCTTAACTCCAAAGCAACCGCGTCTATCTCCGAGCCCAGAGTGCGCCCCAACTTCATAACATCCGTGTCTCGGGTTCCTCGAAAGCGTTGGGTTTCACTTCATATTTGCGAAATGGAGGGCGTATAGAGCAGACGCAACTTTTCTTTGAATCCGCAGGTCTCTGATATGACCCGTTCAACCCAGCCTACTCAGAGGTCTTTATCTTACATCGCCACGTGCCTTGGCTTGCATGAGCCTCTGCGTTTTACGGGTTTCAGGGGCATCCGGTTTTCGGTGAGCGTTTGATTACTGGGAACCGACAACTTCTAATGCATCCAAGAGAACAGATGTCTGTGCCGGTTTACCGACGCTAATCCGGACGTGGTCTTGTAGGCGGGGTGTGTTAAAATATCGGATGAGAATACCTCGTTCAGCTAACGCCGCTTTCAATCCCGCCGCGTCTCTGCCAACAACCCTTGACAGAATGAAATTCGCCTCACTCGGATAAGGCTCTAAGAAGTCGAATTCCCGCAAAGCTGGATAGAGTCGTTCACGCTCTGCCACAATTTTTCGGACATTCTCTTGTAGGTGATGGACATCTGACAGCGAAGCTAATGCCGCGGCCGACCCGGCGGCGTTTACGTTGTATGGCTGCTTAATCTTCAGCAAATGCGAAATTATCCATTCAGGAAAAACACCGTAGCCTACCCGCAACCCCGCAAGTCCTGCCCACTTACTGAACGTCCGAAGTACAACCAGGTTTTCATGTTGTAGAACCCAGTCTGCACGACTGCCTCCAGCGAATTCGATATAGGCTTCATCTAATACAACAATGAGTGGTAATTCAAGCAACTCCCGAAGACATACATCACTGAGGAGACTGCCGTCAGGGTTGTTTGGGCTTGTAATAAAGAGGATTTTGGCGTTTCTGTCACTGGAAGCAATTTCAGTTATCGCTTCAGGGTCTAAGGTAAAATCTGCTTTTCGTTCAACATCAATAATTTTTCCACCGTTAAGTTCCGTGTCGAAACGGTACATTCCAAATGCTGGGGGACAGTTGATGACCGCGTCTCCAGGACTGACGAACAGTCGAACGATGAGATCAATCAGTTCATCTGCCCCCTGCCCAGCGATGATGTGGGTTGCATCAATGCCTGTGTACTGGCTCAGTGCTTGACGGAGCGCAGTGCTGTCCGGATCTGGATAGATGTGGTAATCCTTTTCATTGGCAAGCGCGCGATAGACGGCAGGAGAGGGACCGTAAGGGTTCTCGTTCGCATCAAGTTTTATGATGTCCTCCGCAGGAATGCCAAGGCGTTTACTCAGGACATCGAAAGGCACAATCGGCGTATACGGTGCCATATCCGAGATGTCTGAACGAACGAGGTTTTGATATAGTGTTTTGGGTGACATTTTTTTATGGCTGTCGGCAGTCAGCAATCGGTAAAGGAATCGGGGTTACAAACCCCTCCTACTGGCTGTCACGAGAATCTCTTTACCGATAGCCGAAGACCGATAGCTATTCTATTAGCTTGGGTTCGGTGAAGTTCTCACCTCAACTGCTTTCGGTGTCAACGCACCGATGGGTGTCTCGCCCTTTAGGACCCGCACAAAATCGTCCACTGTCATATCTGCTACACGTAAATTGGCGTCTATCGTTCTACCTGCGATATGCGGTGTGTGAACAACGTTGTCCCGATTGCGCAGTTCATCGTCAACGGGAACCGGTTCGTTATCGTAAACGTCGAATGCTCCTGCGAGTTCGTCTTTCACGATACGTTCTCGTAATGCTTCCATATCAACGGCATGGGCGCGTGTAATCACGACAACCAAACTCCCCTTCCGCAAGTGGTAGATCCGTTCTCGATTCAACAGGTGCCGAGCTGAAGGTGTCGGTGGGACTGCCACGAAAACGATATCGGAGCTATCAGCAAGTGTGTCCATATCGGCGCGTTGCACGTTCCATTCTTGGAGGAGTGCGTCCGGTACATAAGGGTCGAAGCCCATCACCGTCGCTCCGAAGACACTGCACCACTGCGCAATTTTTCCTCCGATCTGACCCAAGCCGATAACACCTATCCGTTTCGTACCGAGGTCACCATTGACGAAATCTGGGTCGTCACAGAATTGATGTGCGGCAGGGAGTTTATCCAAGGGGGCACCGCTTTCACGTGCGTTTAGCGAACCCCACATCGGGTTTTCCCAATCCCACAGTTTTTCGCCCTGTGCCATCCGCAGATGCCACTGTGCTGTCCGGCGCAGCGAAGACAATGCGAGACCAAAGGCGCATTCTGCTACAGATTGCGACCATGCGCGTGTCGATTCAATGACAGGGATGCCACGTGCCTGAAGTGCTTTATACGGGATACCGTGCCCAGAATTGTCGGTCATCGCGCCGAGGACTTTCAGCTTTGGGGCTGCCGCGATACATGCTTCGGTCAGGTTTCCACCGAAATGGGATATTCCGATGGTTTCGCTTAAGTCGATCTGTTCGTGAATAGGGTCTCGACTACCTGTGTTGAGAACGAGTGTTACACCTAATTCTTCTAATCGACTGACCATCCGTTCGTGTACGAAGGGCCAAGAAATTTCTAAATTGGGATGACGTGTGAATACATATTCGGGACTTGCCATTTTTTAATTGTTCCTTGCGGTTCGGTCAGGTTGGTTTGATGGATGACGTGCCTTCCGTAGACCCGCCCTCCGCTACGCTACGGGCTACGGTCATTCTATCCAAGACAGCAGCCTGCACAACAAGGCGCAGGCGGATATGACAGAAAAACGAAAAACCCACAAAGACTTCATTTACGCCTTGCGAACATTTAAAGTTCCTTGCGGTTCGTTGAGCGGGTTTAAGGGTTTGACGTGCCTGTTTCGTAGACCGCTTTCCATACGTTCCAAGCTAACGTGCTTTTGTCTAATTTTGATGAATGAGCAGATGGGGACCAGTCGGGTATCTACCCATGCGGGCACCGTAGAGTGCAAATCCCCCTTTCGCCGCAGCATCTGCTTTCACTTCATATCGGACTGTTAATGTGTCTGCCTCACGCTCGAAAACGAGGGGGGGGTCTACCTTGACCCTGTAAAGGTAACCGTAGTTGCCAGGCTGCCCGTGGATATAAGAGAGCACACCGCGCGCATCCGCCGGACAGTCGGGAATGCGAATCGTCTCGATTTCAACACCGTTGACAGAGATCGTCACATCTGATGGATGTTTTTCTGGTTCCGTTTGACGTGCACCGCCGTTTGAACTGGATGCTTCAAAAATCAGTTCCATCTCTGTGGGATTTGTTGTACCGAGCCCTTCTGGTAATGCAATCTCATATTCAACGTAACCACTTCCCTCTGCGGAAAATAGGTGTTCGTCACGTGCTGGTTCATCCCAGGACGATTTGGATACGTCTCCAGGGGCGTAGTTGATGCTAATTCGGGAATCGCCCGAATCATATTCAGAAGCCCCTCCTACTAACCCTGAATCGCTGGGTTCAACTGCTGGATTCGTTTCGGGGATACAATCCCCTTCCACATGCTCAAAGTTGATGAAATTACGGGCGACAACAGAACCTGTGCCATCTGTTACCCAGACGTGGAGCGTACCGACCGCGGGGTGAACATCAGGCATGGTAAGTTCAAGTTGATGCACATTTTCCACCTGGTACTGCGGAAATGGAATATCAACGCTTCCTGAGACGCATCCTCGTGTGATGTCTCCAGTCGCTGACATCGTATCCAGTTGCCAGTGGAGTGTTGCACCTGTGATGGTTTTGTGTGAGAAATGGCTCGTGTAGATGTCAGCCTTTATCTTCTCACCCGGTCTAACTGTTGTCCCAGGCGGATAATCGATAGCGATAAAATCTAAGGTATTGATATCGAGGTAGTCGTATCCGAATGCCTTTATCGAACGGTCGTAGTTCATGAAACCGTTGTGTTCCCACTCAATGTCCTGCAACTCGGTATAGATGTAACCACAAATTTTCGGATGGAGTCGGAGTTCGTTGGTAAGGTATTTGAAACACCATGAGACATCCTTATCCCCCGCACCTGCTGAGATACCACCGTATTCACTATTAATCAGTGGCGCATCGCTCTGGACATTACCACCAGCATAGTTGAACGCTGAACCGGGATATGTTTCTTCCACAACGTTGGCAATATGTTCTTTCGCGCGTTCATAATCGTTGATGTAGAAGTGCCACGAGTTGATGTCTGTTTCTACATGGTCGTACAAACAAGGCGAGTTGTCCTCAATGAGACGGGTGGTATCAAGAGATTTGGCAAGGTGGTACATCTCGCGCACCCATTCTTGCCGTTCGTGCATCTCTTTATACTCCCTACCACCGAGTCCCCAAGTTTCGTTGAAATTGCACCATGAAATGATCGACGGATGATTGTAGTCACGCGCAATGTTTCCGCGAAGCGTTTGCTCAGATCGTGCCTTCGCTTTCTCCGTATAGTCGCCGAAATTCGGTATGTCGCACATAAAAAGCAAACCCAACTTGTCAGCCCAGTAGTAGAGGCGAGGCTCATCTACCTTGATGTGGAGTCGGAGGAAGTTGAATCCGAATTCTTTTGCGCGTTCGATGTCTCTGCGAATGGCTTCATCTGTCAGGAACGTATACACGCCTTCGGGGTTAAACGACTGATTGAGCGCACCAAGCAGGTAGATAGGGCGGTTGTTGAGGTAGATATACTGATAATCTCCACCCGGGGCTTTCGCTATAGAGACTTTCCGCATTCCGAAGTAGGTAAAAATCCTATCAATCACAGTGTTGGTTTCCGCCAGCAATTCAAGCGTGACATCGTAGAGATTTGGAGTGTCTACGTCCCACAGGCGGAGTTGTTCTGGAGGGATATTGATGGTCCATTGCGTATCGTGGTCTCCAGAAACTTCAACCGAACCAGTGAGTCCGTCACAATTCCAACGTAGTAGGAGGGGCTTCTGAATATGATTCGGGCGATTCCCGACTTCTGCATCTTCTCGGTGGTTTCCACCTACCTTAACGGCAAATGTAGCGGAAGCATTGTCAATGTCAGGCGTTATGTGACACTGCGCGATGTGGGTTTCGTTTCTCGGCTCTAAGTAGACAGACTGCCAGATACCGCTGGTTCGTTCATACCAACCAATTTGCTTGCCCGCGAGTTGCTCGCCGTGGTCCTGTGCGTCGTAAGCCCGAACGACGATAAGCGCGGGTTCCCCTGGCGTGAGTGCGTCTGTGATGTCAAATTCAAACGGCAGATACCCGTTTTCATTCTTACCGATTATTTGACCGTTCACCCAGACGGTCGTTTTCCCAATCGACAGCACCAAAGTTCAAAATAACCCGACTATCACCCCAATTTTCAGGGACAGAGACCGTTTTGCGATACCAACCGATTGTGTGTCTCGGCTCGTCTCGATAATTTCCGCCGCGTTCTAAACCTCCGCAGGTGACATTTTCAGGTGTAATATAGGCATTTTTGCTCAAGTAGGTTGCATTATCTGCGTGTTCTTCGTCGCCCCATGCTGCAAGGCTTTCCCAAGGATAAGGGACCTGTATTTGCAAGGTCCATGGGGAATCAGTGGTTGACTCCAGTGCAAACCATTGATTTTCTTCGCCGGTATTGTCAGGGTCAAAAGCGAATTCCCATGTCCCATTCAGACAGATCCAGTCGATACCTTCTGATGTTCCACGTTGAAAATCTGGACGCGGATACTCTGGGCGAGGTATATCTGTATTGTTGCCTCTCATGTTTTTCCCTTTTTAATGGCTGTCGAAAACCGTCAGCAGTCGGTTTCCGTCGGTAAAGAGGTTTCTGGTGAAGTGACACCCTCTTGCTGACCGCTGACGGCTGATGGCTATTCTACTGATAGCCAGTATATCAGAAATTGCTTTTCTTTCCAATTTTTTTCTAAACTTGTTTGGATGGGCAGGTTCTCAAATGGCGGGTCCATTGTAAAGTTTTCTATTGGATTTCGCCGCGGACGGTGAGTGCAGTCGCAATGGAGAGATAATCTCTGCCTTCTTCAACTCTATCATGGTTGTAGCTGAGCCCGAGATGTAAATTCGATGTAATATGAGTACTGATTTTGTAACCGATGCGCAAGGTCGTTTCATACCTTTCTGAACGCTCCTCACGGTTCGCGCCGTACTGCTCTCTTCGGATAGCCCAAGAGAGGGTATTGGTTAAATCGAGATCGTGTTTCAGAGGGATTCTACCGAAAAACGGTATCCATATGCCATTTTCTGTACTGTATCTGTACTCAATACTCAGGTTTGGCGTGACGATTAGCGCGTTGCCCCTAATACCGCTCCGTAGCTGGTCTCGAATTGTAGTACGTACACCCAACGCTGTCCGGGTCTCTTTACCCCATGTCTGTATCCAACTCAGTGAAGGAATGTGTGCTTTGCTGTCACCGAGTGTAGCGTCCAGCGTCCCGTTATCTCGCGTTGTATAACTATAGCGGAGTTGGAAACTGGAAGTTTCTCTCGCTTTCAGTTTTACGTCGGCTTCATAAGCATCGGTGTTCTGTATGTAGGTTGTACCTGAACTTTTCCGGAAGCTGTCGGAAGTGCTGACGCTTGTTCCGAAAGATGCCCAATTCCACGGGTCTACCGAGCTACGGAGTGTGTAGCGATTGCTGCGCCGAGAGTTCGTCCGTTCCTTCGCGTCTTGTTCAAGCGAATAGATTTCTAACATTGATAGCCCGGATGCAAGTTGCCGATACGATTCACTGGCGGTGAAGTTTGCGTTGGTACTGACGGTGAAACTTTTCAGAGTTCGATGCAGAATACCGTCCTTGACCGCTGGCACTGCATCCTCTTGCGTTCCGATGTTTCCGGTTTCCGTTCCTGCAGAAGGCAACTCACCTTTATCGCGTTCGATCCAATCCCCTCGGTTTTCCTCTAATTCTTGGATTTGTGTTTCGTCAATATCATTTTCCCGCAATTCTTCTATTATTGCTGTCCCGTTCGTTGCTTTTCAACGGTTCTCTGGAGCTACTTTCTGCAGGCGGTGCTGTTCCATCTTGAGATTCATTTGAATTGTTTTCGGTTTCTGGTGTTTTCTCTCTGAGGAACCATCCGAACCATTTTTGAATGCGGAGGTTCACGCCGAGGCTGATGTTTCCATTGAGTGAAGCGTTTTTCTGTTCACTAAACCAGTTTTCACGAAAGCTCATACGGCTTGTTACGGTAGGACGCATGCCGAGCAGATCCCGGTTTAAGCGTGGGGTAAGCGACAACCGATGATCTCGCTCAGCAATCGACCATTTAACATCTTCGGCTGATTTCTCTTCAGATTCGGGAATTTCCGGTTCTGTCGTTATGACCCCCAGCAAGTGGGGACCTCGAGTCCTGCGCTTCCCGTCTTTCAAGTGTCCGGCTGACATTGTAACTCGGGTTCAGGCTGAAGATATTTGTCGGGCTGATATTAAATGTTATGGTGCCGCTATCTGTTTTTTCATCTCGGTTTCTACCGTAGCCGTAACTATAGTAGGATGTTGAAGTCGAAGACGTATCTGTAGCAGTTTCGGGTTTGGCGAGTCTGTCTTCGTGCCGATACTGCACGTTGACCCCAATTTTTGAACCGAGTTCATACCGGAAGCTACCCGTATAGAGATGGCTAATTTGTGTGCCTTGGCGTTCATTCCAAAAGTCTTGGTGGTTGTAAGCGAAACCGAGATTCGGATACGGGTTTTGAATGAACTGTACAGAAATATCTCGGGTGCGGATTTCACTTTTCCCACTCTGGAAGCTGCTGTAACTTCCGCGCTGGCTCTCGGTTTCCGTGTCTTGGTGTCGGACACCATATCGGATCGGTAACCATGGGAATAGGGTGACATCTGCATCGATATTGAAGTCGTTGTTTGTCGTGCTATACCCGCGTGAGGAGAGCCGTTGTCTACCGGCTTCACCCGCACCGCTTTCAAAATCTTTGTCTTGGCTTGCGTAGCCACCGCGTAATTTAACGATTCTACCGAGGGACACCGCCATATTTCCACGACGTGCCCATCCTGCACGCACGAGCGGATCGCCGAGGTGAATCTCGTTTACCCAGATTTCTCCGCTGATTTCACGTCCAGTGTCGTTACGTATACCCAGAAGGATGCCGCCGATATTTTTAATAGAAAGCTGAGTGCTATTCTGACCTCTAATCGTGAAACCGTCGGGTTGTCCATCTGGTGCCTCGTCTGCGCTTTCGGAATCAGGGCTAATTGTGGCTTCGCCGCTATTCGTTTCCTCGACAACCGGTTCGACTGAAGGAAGCGTGGAATCCGTTTCTTTCACATCCGGATAATTATTTCCGCGCAGGTCCTGCAAATCGATTTCAATTAACCTCCAACCCTCAAAGTCGATGGGGACCGTATATTCATAGTAGTCTGTTAGATTCTCGAAAACGTTGATGTCTTGTTCCTGTTCGGTCTGATTGACAAACGGGTCTGAACTATAGAAGGAGCTACGGTAGCCGGTTCGGACAGTTGGTGCGAGTTGTAAAACGAAAGGTTGTATCACTTTTGTCACCATAGAGCCAGAATCGCAGTGTATCGTGTTTGCTGAAATCTTGCCCTTCGCTTTGTGTTAAGCCCTTCAGTTGTTTCGAGGTGATACCGTAGGAGCCGGGAAAAAGGTAATATTCAAGGCTAAGTGTCTGTTCACGTTGCTGTTGTGTTTGAAAACCGAGTGAAGTGGCTGTGAATGGATGTAATTTCTTGAAGAGTTCGTTATCTTCGATATCCAGATACGCACTTTGATACGCATCATAACTGAAGTTATCCCGCGTGCCAACGATGAATTTTTCCAATGTGTCTTCCACAATTGTACTGGTTGACAAGGTTTCTCCGGTGGAGGCGAGTGCTGGGTTGTTAGTTATGGATTCGATGGTAGGTTGGGAACTTGACCGAGTTATAATCCCCTGTTTCCATTTGTTGCCAACAATTTCAATATCCGCCCACTGCAGTAAACCTTCTACGGTGCCGGGTGCGTTTTTGCTTAACCAGAATCGGAAGTGTTGCACAAAAACAAGACTTGGCAGGCGGGATCCTCCTGGCGTAAATTTAGAGAGTGGGATACTGAGGAACATCCAACCGTTTGCATTTTTGCTTTTAACCCATTCCTTCGGAATCTCATTCAGTGGTATTGACACCTCAAAATATGCATCTATGCCGTCCAGTACACCATCACCGTTGAGATCTTCACTGTCCAGAATCTGATTACCCACACCGATAGATGTTCTTTCAAGTGGACCGTTGAGCCCCCATCCTACGTCCTCACCTGTATCGAGAGTGCCATTTCCACGATAACGATCAGCATTTGGGAGATTCTCCAAGTCTAAATCCAAGGCATCAATACTTCCGTCTCCATTTGTATCCGTTAGCGTGTCAGGGAGATCTTCGCTATCTAATCGTTGATCTGCATCTACGTCTTCGTTCACAACCCCAAGGTTCAGGTGTAGTGTCACATTATCGTCGCCTTGGACGCGCATCCAGATTTCGACGAAACTGCGTTCCGAGTAATCTACCCCGGATGCTGAGAGGCCATTCGAAAAGCCTCCCCACTCCGCGATGATGTCTGTGAAATAGTAGCCGACTTCCATAATGAGGCGTTCTTCGATCGAGAGAGAGAGGGGTTGAATTGACGAGGCGGGTACGTCACGGTTCCGCATGTAGTTTCCTATGGCTTCCGTTTCGTTTTTGTCTTTCAGCACAACGTTAAAAATCGCTCTATTCTCGTCGGTCGGTATAACACGGTAAGCGGCATCTCCAGAGGGTGTTGGATCACTGTCTGAATCGGGGTTAGAAACCCCTCCCACTGGCATGCTGCTTGGCTTCCAATTATATTTCAATGTCGGTATGGTCGTTGACTCCTTTGCCCCTTCCATGCTATCAATGAGTGCGACGCCAATACTATTTGGGTTGTTATGTGAATAAGCCGCTTCTCCACTGAAGTCAAGTGAGAGAGGAAGGTTTCTCATATCAATAAAGGGCAGCAGATTTAAAATGCCGGCAACGTTAAACTCTCTTCCAAAACTCGTATTCACATTGAACGCTTGTAAGCGGTTTGGAACGCTGTTCACATCTGGTATTTCTGCCGGTTTTTGTCCGGTGTTCAGAATATAGCCCGTTGAGAGCGAAAATCCTTTTTGAAAAACGGGGTTGAAATAGTTCATCGCGCCGCCATAACTACCGTAGGAGCTTCGCGATCGACCTCCTAAACTGCTGTAGCTGCCATAGCCTCCGCCAAGTCCACCGCCGCCGAAATCCACCGCCGAAACCGCTCCTACCCGAGCGAGAACTACTCCCAAAACCCCCTAAACCCCCGCTCCTCCGTTGGAGCCCACCTGACAGTCTCTCACCGAAGGCATCCGTTCCTTCACCAAGCATATCTGAGCCCATTGATTGGAGACCACCTAACCGATTGAATCTATCCTCAAGGCTCTGTTGTCTATCGGACTTAGGTTTCTGTTTATGCGTATACTCTAACCAGACGCCAGCTACAGCCTGTTGTGATGAACCCCCAAAAGGTGTTTTTTCGAATTCCACAACGATCTCATCGAACTCGTCCAACTGCCTAAAGAATCGGATAGTACCGACCTCATAAATCATCATATAGTCGGTATCGCGAGTCAAGAGTTGTCCGTTCAATCGGACCGTCTCGCTATCTGGAATCACAAACAAGCCTACATTGTACGTTTCTGATTGATACGCGTAGTCCGCTATAATTGTGTAGACTTGGGCATCTGTTCGGGCACTTTCGAGATAGATAGCGGTGTTGTTGACTGAATCGCGATAGGCGTAATATGGATGGCTTGGGTCTACGATTTGAAACGGGTCTGTTGTAGGGAAACGCAGTAAGCCTCTGTCGTAGTCTATAAACTGTGCATCCACAATACCATCACTGTTTTGATCCAACCCAAAAATTTCGATGTACGGGATAGAGCCGGCATCCGTCTGGAAAGTTACGCTCTGTCCTTGTCGAAGGAGTGAGAGTGTGAAGTCTCGTGGGCTAATGTTGCGGTTGCCAAGACTGTAAACGTGCGTTGCCGCTGCACCGCGAAATCCCTTCTCTTTTAGTACTACGTAGCCGATTTCCTCACCTTCTTCGTCAATCCTTCCGTCTCCGTTTTCATCGACAAAGACCTTTTCAGTGTTACCAACGGTGCCGCCGCCGTTGTCTCCTAAGTATTCATACGCAACAACGATGGTATAGTTTGCAGAAATCGGAGATAGGAATTCTATTTCACCCGTCTCGTAGTCAATATTGTAGTCCTGACCGGAGAATTGTGGATTAAAGTAGCCTCGACTCGTCCGTTGGCCCCCCTGATTGTTCCCTACAACACCGTCGTCGATGAAAATTTGCTCACTCCCTGATTTGATGGGTAGATATGCGTCAATCTGTAATCCGTTCTCATTTGTGTGAATGTGGTAGAACCGATTTTTGACGTAGTTGATGTCCGGTATCTGAATCCCACGCGGTCCATAGCCGTATCCGCCGCCAGCGCGCCGGGACTGTCCACGGAAAGGTACGCACCTCGCGTATCCCCTTGCTTCGAGAACCGAACGCGGTAAGACGGGTGTTTTTCCATTCAAAAACGCCTTCAAGTCCGAACAGATTCCGGTTGATGTTCAGAAAACGGGTGTTCGGCAAACTGAGTGTTATGTCGCCAAAGGAGATCGTTTTTATAATACTCTCCGGTGTGCCTTCGTACCAGATTTTAATCTTCTGTTCCTTTGTAGCCGCCGATGCCGTATCCGCCTCCGTACCCCCCGCCATATCCGCCGCCATATCCGCCGCCATATCCACCACCACCGAAACCACTACCGCCAGCACTATAGTCTACAGCGATATGCGTCCGTTTTCCTACGCGACCGTGTAGCCCAAATTGCTGTATTTGACGCAGATTAAAACCTGTCGCTCGCGGTGCACCACCACTACCATATCCACCGCTATAACCACCGTAACTTGAGCCGTAACTTGAGCCATAACTGCTGGAACTACTCCCATACCCTGAACCGTATCCACCACCACCCAAGCCACTACTGCTATAGCCGAAGTCTTCGTAACCGTAAGACGAGGTGAGTCCCAAGTCAAGACCTGATGAGTAGCCACCGTATCCGCCGCCATAACCGTAACCACCGTATCGGTTCAGGTCCCCATCGCCGAAGTAGTGAGTTTTGTTCGCCTCTACAGTTACAGATTGTAAGCCCGTTATCCTGAGATTGGAATCCATGGGGAGGGCAATGCCTTTTTCATCGCGCTTGGGTTTTGGTTTCCAGTTATAGAGTTTATTGAGATCGGTTAAATAGGGGGGATTCCGCCATCTTCGGAGGCTGTCGAGGTAAGGTTGTATGAGGCGATCTTCCTCCTCTATCTGATCAGGAACCTCGATGTGTTCCTTTTCCTCTTGCCAGATGAAGTGCTTTGATTTGCTATCGTTGTCAAAGGGGTTGCGGGTGAATAACCCAAATCCAGTATTGCGTTGATTTTCAGGTGGTATTTCGGGGTCCCCAGAATCAGGAACAGTAGCGAGGTTCTCAGGTGTTGCAGGGTCTGTTTGCGTCTGCTTTTTAGGTTCGGTCTCTTCTTCAGCAATACGACTTACGACAACTTCAGACGTTGAACAGATCACGATGATAAGAATGATCCCAATCTTTAACAGCAGGTTTTGCCTTTTTAAGGTTAACTGGTTTACAAAATTCGACAAAAGATGTATCTGCACGTATATTCCTGATTTTTTCGTATTAACTACATTTCTGTGGAGACTACGACCGCGGCGTTGATAAAGCCTTGTAAAAGCAGTCTGTTTGCAGTGATACGGAATTTAAACTTGAATTTTGATTGCAAACGAAGAATTGGGTCTTTCTGTTTACATAGGTCTTTATAACGCTACTTTTTTAATTGTGGGCGCGTTTTTCAACTATGGGTGCTGTTTAACGCTATCTCTCTTTAAGGTGTCCCCACGTTACAGTCAATTTCTCACCTACTTGCACTGCTTGGAATTGTTTCGTGAGATTCTCCATCACTTCGGCGAGTTCATCTTCGTCCAGTGCCGTGTCGTAGACAGCGACTGCATCAATGATACCTTTCAACGGTCCATTTTCGCCATCGGGTCCTTGGGCACCAATAATCAAAGGTGCGTTACTCGTTGCGGGTTTGCCAGCGGCTCCCCGCGGATTAAATTGTTCGCCGTCAACGTAAGGGATGAGATTCTTCTCGTCATACACGCCTGCGACGAAGTGCCACTTACCATCAGCAACCTCTTTGCTGCCCACTTGCAAATCTTGCGCACCCCCAGGAAGCGTAAACCCAAACGTCATGACACCCGGACGAATCCACATCGTATAGTTTCGATCTGGCCACGTTTCTTTGCCAAGGATCACTTGATACGGGTCGACAATCTTAGGCACTTTTATCCAGGCTGTCATCGTCCACTGTCTGAGATTCATGACATCTTCATGTGGCACGAGGACATGCCCGCCATCAAATTCGAGCGCGGACTCAAATTTCCCATCAACCCACGCCACTTCGCCAATAATTTCGCCGTGGTGTCCGTTCCCTGATGTGTCTTTGACGGTATTACCGTTGCCTTCATCAAAGAGCCATACACCTATCGCTTCAGCAGGCGCACTTTTAAGTTCGCCAGCAACGCTGAAATACCAAAAGATGCTCACAAGGAGCATCAAACCTGTTAGACTTTTCATGTTTGTCGCCTCCATTGGTTTGTTGATTTCTTCTCTCTATTTTAGCAGATTCAGCGCGAACCTGCACATCTTTTTTTATTGACATTTTCGACACCGTTAAGGTAAGATAATGGATATTTCAAACGATGGAGGAAAATATTGTGCGAAAATTGTTTATTTTGGGGGTAGTTTGTTTAATGGCTATCCCAGTGATATTTGCACCTGTGAGCGATGCGGCAATTGATACCAAAAACATCGTTGGCGTGTGGCTCTTTGATGAGGTCAATAACAAAGATATGTCTTCCGATTCTTCCGAAAACGGCAATGATGCTGAATTGCTTAAAGGTGCTGAATTGGTAGATGACGGAAAATTTGATAAGGCATTGAGTCTCTCTGGTGATGACGAATTTCAGATTGCAATGGTCGAGACGTCAAAGAGTTTAGATAGTTGTGCTGAAGAATATACCACTACGACGTGGGTGAAACTCAAGAAAAAAGAGAAAGTCGTTTTGGGCGGTTGCTGTAACGACGACCATGCCATCATTAATTTCCAATATACCTGCTTACTGAACATCTTCGGACCCGGACGGGGTGGAGGACACGGTAAAGTTGAAATTGGCAGTGGGCAGCTTGCACCGGCATGGGTCTCTGGTCCAACAGTCGTCAATGACGATAAATGGCATCATATCGCTTTCACCTACGATGGAAAGAAGATGATAGCCTATATAGACGGTAAAGTTGATGCACAAGCCAATACGGGTGGTGTTTTTGGATTGACGGGACAGTCACTCCAGATTGGCGGCATGGCAGATCAGCGCCCCGGGTGGGGTCTCATGGATGACGTGGGTGTCTTCAACACTGCTTTAAGTGAGGCGGATATCAACGACATAATGGACCAAGGCTTGGGTAAACTCTTCGGGTTTACGCCTGTATCACCAGAAGGTCGTTTGACAACGGTGTGGGCACGTGTAAAGTCGGAACATTAGTACCACCGACGAGGTTGAGTGTTATCGGTTGTCGGTAGGAGGGGCGAAATCGGGAATCGGAGTGTTTTTGATAGGGGTTTTGATAGGGCGTTTCCCTTTCCTCAATTTCCCCCTCCTACAACCAAAAACGTAGCCTGCAACAACGGCGCAGGCGACTCGAACGCGAAAACCGTCAAAACATAAATTGCGTCATTACTCCGCAAGGAATAATTAAAAAGTGTTAAAATATCGGAGTGCGATCATTGGCTGCGGGGGTAGGGCTTATGCTCATGCGAATGCCTATCAACAAATATCGAACGGCGAGTTAGTCGCATGCGCAAACCGTTCAGATGTCGCCCGACGTGAGAAATTCGCTGCGACCTTCGGCGTCACCGGCTATGCAGATGCTGAACAGATGCTCCGTACAGAGCAGCCTGATTTGGTTCACCTCGTCGCAATGCCCGACCAGTGGCGTGAACTGATGCCGATGGTATCAGAATTGGGTGTTCCGGCGTGCATCGTTGAAAAACCTATTGCCTGTGGTGTCGAAGACTGGCGTTTTCTATGCGAGTTGGAGGCGCAGACCTCTACAAAATTCGGAGTTGGCAAACAGTACCGGTGGCATCCCGACTTCACCAATTGCCGACAGGCAGTGGAGAGCGGTGAATTAGGAAAGATTCGCCTTTTAGATTTTTCGTGTGGTATGAACCTCACCGCCCAAGGCACACATATCATTGATTGGGCGATGTCCCTAAACAACGATTCGCCTATTGTCAGGGTCTTCGGCACTGCAAGCGGTGCTGAGTCGCTTGATAATGGCTATCCTGCTCCGGATACAACGTCGTGTCAGGTCTTGTTTGAAAACGGGGTCTACGGATTCTGGAACACCGGTTTTACCTCTCCACGCGTCATGGACGACGATGCCATCTACAAGCACTGTCGCGTTGCTGCCTATGGCGAAAACGGGCACGTCCTCTTTGAAGAATTCAGCAGATGGGAAATCGCTACCATCGGGGTAACTGAGAACGGCGTGCAAACCCCCGATTCTTGGCGCGCAAAAAACGACCTCGCGCAAGCCAACCTGACGCAGGCGATGTTCGATTGGATTGAAGACGATACCCGTCCCGTCGAAACAAATCTAAAACTTGCATTGCACCAGTTCAATGCGGTTTTGGGCATTTATGCGAGTGCTATTTCTTACAAGCCGATTGACCTCCCTTTTGACCCTCCCGCGGACCTGGATTCACAACTTCTCGAAGTTTTGGCGCGTTAAGAAAGAACGTTATGAACCGTCAACAAACAAACAGTGAAAACACCATCGCCACCCTATTTATCGAAATCCTGATATGCATGAGTTCCACATGGAGCATTCGCGAGCATACTATGAAGCCACTCGTTGAAAATAGTAGGAAATTCGTGAAAATGTTAACGTCTGTAAAGGAAAACGAAATCGAAAACGAAAATTAGATAGCCCTGGAATGCTCCATGTCTTTCCTTGCAATTGATCGCAGATGTGCATATAATTGATTCAAAGCCACGACCAATAGAGGAAGAAACAATGGATGCCCACATCAACGTCCAAAACTTCGGTCCGATAGAAAAGGCAGAGATAGATCTGCGTCCGCTGACTGTATTCGTCGGCGAGAATAACACCGGCAAGACTTATCTCGCCGCACTCATCTACGCATTACACCAAAATTTTGAGGGCATCTCACAATTACCTTGGGCAGACTCTGTTACTTCCTATTTCAGTTTTGCTTACCGTTCGCGAGACCGATATTCACAAAGTCAGCAGGATGCGTTACAACAAGATATGTTAGGGGTACTTGAAAAGTTAAACACGCCGGGATGTCCGTTCAAATTTTCCGATTTACCTCAGCTGATACATGCCGGGTTGGAGTCTCGACTCACAGATCAGGAAGACTTCACAAACGAGCTTGAACGGTGTTTCGACCTTGAATCTGCTTCCAAGTTAATTCGGTTCACGGGGAGCCGAGGCAACGAAATGAAAGTTTCACTGTCGGTTCGCGAGGGTAATCAAAGGTATTGGGATTTTGAAGCGAGGGCCGCTGGATCCGCCGATCCCACTATAACCGGGCACATCAATCCGGACATGATTCTCCTCGACGCAAACGACTCAATGCGTAAGACTGAATTCAATGAAATATCCGATGTTGAACGTCTATTTCGGAACTTAGGCATCCGTCGGTGGCGAACAAATTCCTACTACTTGCCTGCCGCTCGGAGCGGCATCATGCAAAGCCACGGTGTGATTGCGACTGCCCTGATCAAGCGGGCAACGCGCATCGGTTTAGATCGCCTTGAAGTATCTACATTTTCAGGAATGATAGCGGATTTTCTGGAGCAGATTGTCCGCTACAAAGAACGCAAGGGATCGTCAAGCAGTATACGTCGTGTCGCTGAACAACTGGAGGCGGAACTGCTGGAGGGCAAAATAGAGGTTAAACGCCCCACGTCAGAAGCGTATCCGGAATTCTGTACCGTCCAGATCAGGCGAAAGAAGGCTTACGGATGAGCCATTCCTCGGCGATGGTATCCGAGCTTGCACCTTTAGTCCTTTTGCTGCGAGGTATCGTTAAACGGGGTGACTTGCTCATTATTGAAGAACCAGAATCTCACCTGCATCCGGGTGCACAAACCAAAATTGCCCAAACCCTTGCTCGCTTGGTCCGAGTCGGTGTTCGCGTCTTGATTACAACACATAGCAACTGGCTCCTCCAACAAATCGGAAACCTGATTCGCGAAGGTGAATTGCGGAAACAGGGAGAATCCACAAGTGAATCAGCAGACTGGCTGAAAGAGGAAGAGGTCGGTGCGTGGTGGTTCCATAAGAACAAGCCCGTCACAGAACTCCCATTTGACCTTACTGAAGGTATAGAACCGGAAGATCACTTGGATATAGCGGAGGATCTCTATAACCGTTCGGCAGGGCTCCAAAATAGAATTGAGGAAACCAAAGGGAGGGATGCGGTTGAATCTGAGTAAAGGGCTTACCCACATTCAAGAGCAGGTATCTCCAAACAGCCTCACTAATTCATGCAGCGGAGAAGGATGTAAGGTATACCCTGATGGTGTACCTGCGGAGCGGATTGTGATAGATGTAGAGAAAGAATTTGACGCACGTGAAGAGAGCGGAAAACGGTGTGACCGGCTGTTGTTTTACGGGAACGCCAAAAACACCTTCGTCGCGGTTCCAATTGAACTTAAAAGTGGTAAAGCCGACGAATCGGGTGTCCGTGAAAAGTTAGAAAACAGTTTGAAATTTGCTGCTACCCTCGCTCCGGATCGAAAGGAGAGTGGGGAAACCGTCTACGTTCCAGTTCTGTTCCATGGGCGCGGTATTAACTGGACGAATCCGAAACGCCGACAACAATTTCTTAAAGTGAACTTCCAAGGTAAAACTTTGAGGGTTCTGACAGGGCGTTGTGGTAGAAAAAGGAACCTTGCGGAGTTACTGTCCAATGCAGGTTACCTCTAATCTCAATTCAATCCAACCTACTCGTAACTGACAACTAAACCCTCTATTCTTCCTATTCAAAAATTTGACAAATTCTTCGTTTTATGCTATACTATTAACGGTTTCATTTGCAAGCCTACCTTAGGAAAAGCGCAGAAATTTCGTTGGGAGTGCTATTTTGTCTGTTATAAATACAGCATTTTCAGAACCGTCTGTCCATATTGCACCATCTGTGATGTGTGCGGACTTATGCAACTTGGAAACGGATATTCGGGAATTAGAGGCTGCTGGCGTTAACATGCTACATTTTGACTTAATGGACGCGCATTTTGTCCCGAATATGCCGATCGGACTTGCTCTTATTCAACAGTTACGCTGCAAAGACAGACTGTGCTTTTGACATTCACCTCATGGTAGAAAACAACGATTTCTTTGTCGAGGCAGTCGCTGAAATTGGTGTTCAGCAGATAGCCGTTCACGTTGAGTCAGCAACGCATCTTGATAGAACGTTATCTCTGATTCAAGCACATGGGGTCAAGGCGGGAGCAGCTCTCAACCCAGCAACGCCGCTCTCCGCGTTGGCTTATGTTCTGGAACGGCTCGATTTTGTGCTGATTATGACGGTGAATCCAGGGTTTGCGGGACAGAAGTTAGTACCGGCGACCCTCCGAAAAATAGCGGAATGTCGCGCTTTTTTGAACGAACGCGGTGTTGATCTACCTATCGAAGTTGATGGCAACGTGAGTTTTGAGAATATCCCCAAAATGGTATCCGCAGGTGCAGATATTTTAGTCGGCGGGACCAGTAGCGTTTTTCAAAAATCGGGTTCACGGCTTGAGAATATTCAGCAGGCACAGAAAGCGATTGCGCTTGGGCTCGCTGAACGGGAAGGCGGGCAGTGGGCGTAGGCACTTCTTCAGCGAAATGCCACCCTAAAGTGAGCAAACCAACAACGGAGGTTTGCGACGCTTCAACGAGAACTGTTAAGGCACGAATGGTGTGATTTAACGCCTTGCGTCCAGATAAAAATATGATGGAAGCACTTGTTCTCCACGGAATTGGAGATTTACGATTAGAACATATTCCAGTGCCGCATCTCTCTGAAGGGGAGGTACGCGTCCGAATCGGGTTCTGTGGGGTCTGCTGGTTCCGATATTCCGAGAATTTTTGTCAAAGGCACCTATAGTTTTCCAACGGTCTGTGGGCATGAATTCGCCGGCGTTGTGGATACGTGTGGTCCCGGGGTTGAAGATTTATCTCCAGGCGACCCCGTCGTTGTTTTTCCATTGCTCTGGTGTGGCACGTGTCCGGCGTGTGAACAGGGGAAATATGTTCAATGCCATGATTATGACTATCTCGGTTCCCGGAGCGATGGTGCCTTTGCTGAGTTTGTCGTCGCACCGAAGGCGAATTTGATACCTGTACCGCAAGGCGTGACACTCGAAGAGGCATCAATGACGGAACCCGCCGCAGTAGCGCTGCACGCACTCCGTCGTGTTCAAACCTCGCTTGTTGGAAAGATAGTTGCTGTCTTCGGTGCCGGACCGATCGGGTTAATGGTAGCACAATGGGCGAGAATAATGGGCGCGGCAGAGGTATTTCTCTTTGATATTGTTGCGGAGAAACTGGAACTGGCGAAGCGACTCGGTTTTGACAAGGTTTTCAATAGCGCGGTTGAAGAGCCAATTGAAATCGTAAACGCACGGACTGATGAAAAGGGTGCGCATGTTTGTATTGAGGCGGCGGGTGTCCCTGCTACCTATCGGAATGCGCTGGGGAGTGTAGGACGCGGAGGCAGTGTCGTTTTTCTCGGCAATCCCGCTGCAGATGTGACGCTACCGGCGTCTCTTATCTCGCAATTAATGCGGCGTGAGGTGTCTGTCTTCGGAACCTGGAATTCCGATTACAGCGCGGCGGGCAACGACGATGACTGGCGTACTGTTCTCCAAGCGATTGCCTCTGGTACGCTAACGCTCACACCTCTAATAACGCACAAAGTTCCGCTGGTTGATAGTGCTGATATGTTACATAAGATGCGAGACAATAGCGAATTTTATGCCAAAGTCTTGATTCATCCTGCTTCGCAGTGAGAACGAGCATTTTTAACTTTCCTTGCGGTTCGGTGAGATGGGTTAGGGACTTTCACGTTCCTTTCCGTAGGGTCGCCCTCCATTTCATTACGGGCTTGCGGCTTTGGATAGGTCTTCTTTAAAAAATTTGTACTAAAGTAACCAAAAACCTGCGCGAAATGTAATGGAGCGCAGCCCAGAGGCCCATAAATTAAAAAAATGAAAGCAGCTATACTTGAAAGTCTTGATAACTTAAGTGTGAAAGAGGTACCTGAACCCGAAATTGACGATGATGCCGCTTTGATGCGCATTGAAGCCGTCAGTATATGTGGCTCTGATGTTCGTATTCTCCATCACGGTAACCCAAGGGTCAAACCACCCACCATCATTGGCCATGAAAACTCCGGTGTCATCGTTAAAACAGGCAAAAATGTGACGCGCGTCAAAGAAGGCGATCGAGTTTCAATCGGTGCTGATGTCCCCTGCGGGAAATGTCATTGGTGCCGTGATGGACTCGGAAACAACTGTGACATCAACTACGCCATCGGTTACCAAATCCCCGGCGCTTTCGCACAATATATGAAACTTCCCCGTCTCGTTTTGGAGGAGGGACCTGTTACACCGTTCGATGCGACGCTCAGTTTTGATGAAGCCGCGCTTGCGGAACCGCTCGCCTGTGCTATCAACGGGCTTGAACTCGTTAACATGTCTCTTGGGAAGACCGTCGTCATTATCGGTCTTGGACCGATTGGATGTATGATGATTGACCTCGCTCGGGTTATGGGTGCGACGAAGGTCATTGGTGTACAACGGAGCAAACTCCGAATGGAGATTGCAAAGTTCTATGAAGCAGATGCTTATATCGCTTCCGAAGAGGAAGACGTAATTGAGAGATGCAAGGCGGAAACGGGGGGCGAAGGACCCGATGTCGTCGTTACCACGTGTGCTTCCGTTGAGGCACACGAACAAGCGGTTGAAATGGTAGCGCACCGGGGGTACGTCAATCTGTTTGGTGGATTACCGAAGACGATGCGTCCGATGAGCGTCCTCTCCAATGTTATCCACTATAAAGAGTGCTTTGTCACAGGGTCACACGGATGTGTGCCACGGCACCATGAGCTGGCAGTACGTCTGCTTGAAAAAGGGTTAGTGCGTGTGAAACCGCTCATCACACATCATTTTCCACTTGTTGAGATCGACGAAGCTTTTCAGACAATGGAATCCCGACAAGGGATGAAGATTATGATCCACCCACATAAGGAGGAGAAAGGGACGTAATGCACGATTTTTCGCGATTTATTCGAGAAATACCCGACTATCCGAAACCGGGTATTTTATTTAAAGACATCACGCCACTTTTAGGAAATCCGACCGCTTTCCATAAAGCAATTGATGAGTTCGGACACCGTTATAAATGTGAGGCAATTGATGTTGTTGCTGGCACTGAGGCACGCGGTTTCATTTTTGGTGCCGCACTCGCTTATCGGATCGGTGCCGCCTTTGTCCCTATCCGGAAAAAGGGTAAGTTGCCTTATGAGACGCACGAAACCACATACGATCTTGAATACGGTAGTGATACGCTTGCAGTTCACCAAGATGCGTTCCCCAAACACAGCAAAGTCCTTATGTGTGATGATCTCTTGGCAACTGGAGGAACGCTTGCTGCGTCAGTTGATCTCATTGAGAAACTGGAAGGGCACATCGTTGGTATTGCTGTTTTAGTTGAGTTGACCGAGCTCAACGGCAGGGAAAAGGTTCCAAACCACGATATTTTTTCGCTCATTAAATACTAAACTATAACGCGTGCGCCTGTAGCTCAGCGGACAGAGCAGAGGCTTCCTAAGCCTCGTGTCGGGGGTTCGATTCCTCCCAGGCGCGTTTGGTATTATCCGTTTTCGTTATCCACGCACCGGCAGCCAGATTCTATAGAAACGGTGCGCGGAAACTCGAATGTAAAGCGGAGATAAATTTTGATCTGTTTCCAAGTCAAGGCTTGTCTGTAATGCTATTTCCGACGCGTTGGTTAAGCACGCGTCTTTATGCTAAGCATAAAAATTTTTAACGTCAGGAGTAATTTTGGATGTACAGATTCAGTATCTGGAAAATTGTTTTAATCGTCGGGGTCTTTCTGTTTTCCGTACTCTACCTCATTCCTACCCCGGATAACTTCTACAATCCGTTGTACGGAAACCTACCGCTTTGGATGCAGGAGAAACTCCCTGCCTTTGAAGTCACTGAAGACAACGCTTTGAAGGTAAATCTCGCTGAAGTCGAGTACCCCGAAGGAATCAACTTCCAGGATGCAACCTTTGAACTTCAGGATGTCTTCCGAGTCCACTTAAGGAAGCTTGAACTTGAGGAGACACGTGATTATGAATTTGATACCACGGAAGCACGCGAATTTTATGTTCGACTCATCTCGGAGGAGGCACGTCAGAACCCACGCGCAACACTTGACAATTTACATCTATACGGCAGCCTCCCAACGGTCCTTCGGCGACTCATACCCGAGAGCCGATTGAAGTTAGGGTTGGACCTCAAGGGGGGTGTTCACCTTGTCCTTGAGGTAGATTTGGAGGCCTCCAAAACAGAACTACTCCGTGAACATACCCTCTCGATTCCTGAACGGCTTCGCACAGACGATGTTTTATGCCGAGAAGTTAGACAGGTAGAAGGACAAGACACGCTAAATGTGTTCGTCGGGATCCCTTCCAGACTCCGGTCGGATGCTAATGAAAAGACGAAGTATCTCGAGAAAGCCCAACGTCTCCTCAACGAAATCGAATTTTTTGAAGATGCACAGGTCGCTGCCGAGACAGAAACGCAGTCCACGTATCAGTTAACACTCAGTGAGCGAGGCATTCAGAGGTATAGCGAACAGGCGATTGAGCAGGTGCTTATTGTCTTACGAAATCGCGTTGATGCCTTCGGTGTTTCAGAACCCTCTATCCGACGAGAGGCGAATCACCCGAGAATCATCGTTGAACTTCCCGGTGCCAAAGACTCCTCGAAACCTCTACAAATCGTTAAGACCATGGGTAGGCTCGAGTTTAAACTTGTTGAGAAATCACCGACGGGTGGAAGTTTGTGGAGCGGAACTGCTAATACACCGATACCTGATAATATCCCCGATGGTAGTGAAGTCCGCTATCACTACGAAACCGGCAACTGGTACGTGCTAAAAAGCCCCGTTCTCCTGACCGGCGACCGTATCAACGATGCTGGACCCTCTACGGGCAGAACCAGTTTTGACATCGTCGTTTCAATGAGTTTCGATGGTGTCGGCAGACGCAAATTCGCGCAGGTCACAGGAGATCATATTGGTGAACATTTGGCGATTCTCCTTGACAGTAAAGTGCAATCTGCCCCCGTCATCCAAGACCAGATTATCGGAAACGCCATTATTCAAGGGCAATTTCACCTATGAGGAAGCAAGTTACCTTTCTAATATCCTAAAAGCCGGAGCGTTTCCTGTGGGAGTCCAGATCGCTGAGGAACGCACTGTCGGTCCCACACTTGGGCAAGAATCTATTGACGATGGCGTTCTCGCTGCACTCATTGGGTTGGGTGGGGTTCTCCTTTTTATGGTGGTTTACTACCGCTTCTCTGGAATTATCGCTATTGTCGCTCTGGTCTTTAATATGCTCATCATCCTTGGGGCATTGGCAGGCTTCGGCGCGGCGTTGACGCTTCCCGGGTATTGCTGGGCTTGTCCTAACTATAGGTATGTCTGTTGATGCGAATGTGCTTGTCTTCGAGCGAATTCGAGAAGAATTGCGAACCGGCAAAATTGTCTGGACGGCTATCACGAGTGGCTATCAACGCGCATTTATAACGATTTTAGATGCCAATCTTACGACGTTCTTTACCGCACTTGTCCTCTATCATTTCGGGACGGGTCCGATTAAAGGGTTTGCGGTAACGCTCGGTATCGGTATTCTCGCGAGTATGTTCACGGCGATTATTGTCACACGCGAGATATACGGCTTGATCATCGGAAATAGGGACGTGCAAAAACTCAGCATTTAATAGTTTTCAGTCATCAGTTATCGGTGATCGGTAGAGGTTCTGGCATGCATACATTTTGCAACTGCCACAAATTACATCTCACTGAGAACCGACAATGGATGACTGACGACTGACAATTATATTTTCTGGAGGAATGGTTGTCGGATGAATGGTTTTCGGTTATCAGTTTAACTGACAACTGACAACCGAAAACTGACAACTATTAAAAAATTGGAATTACTTAAAAATACAAACTTTGATTTTATCAGCAAACACCGGAGCGGATTTGTAATCTCCGCTGTGGTGATCGTTATCGGCTTGGTTTTCCTCGTAATTCATCAAGGACCGAACTTCGGAATCGACTTTCGTGGCGGCGTTAAGATCCAAGCCAAGTTCAACAGGGCAGTCACTGAAGCTGAGTTGCAAGCCAAACTCACCGAAATCGGCTACGAACGTGTTAAGATACAGATAGATGCCAGCAAAAATGAGGCATTCGTCTCCATGGGGTATCGCCCTGAATTTCAGCAGCAGTTGATTGATATCCCTATTATGACAGATCCGGGTGATGCAACCGCTATCGGTCTTCAAGTGAGTCGTACTGCCCCGAAAGCGCATCTATTGGAGATAGGTGAAAGTGTCCAACTTATTGATGGCAGTATGCAACAACGCAATGAGATTATCGCACGTGATGATGCTACCGAAAATGAGGCAATTCAGTTAACGTTCGCAAGACCCTTCGGAATTGACTTGAGTGAAAACGCCACTATCCAAGTCCAAGCAAGTGTTGGTCGAATTCTCACAGATGTCCTGCTTGAAGGTGACTTTCAATCACCTGGGGGCTGGCAGGCACTCGCTGGCGGCGTCAATATCTCTGAAGTCGGACCGAGTGTTGGACGCGACCTTAAATTGGCGGCACTCTGGTCGGTGCTTGGCGCGATTGCTATTTTGTTGCTGTATATCTCTTGGCGATTTGAGTTCCGTTTTGCCATCGGCGCAATCGCCGCGCTTGTACACGATGTCGTTATTACCTTGGGTGTCTTTGCCGTTCTGTCAAAGGAGATTAATCTACCAACTGTTGCCGCGTTCCTTACAATTATTGGCTATTCGCTCAACGATACAATCGTCGTATTCGACCGGATTCGGGAAAATACGCAATCCTTACGCGGCACTGACTACATTACAGTTTTGAACAGAAGCATCAATCAGTCGCTGAGTCGAACCGTTATCACGTCTTTGACAACGCTGTTTGTTGTTCTGGTTATTTTCCTCATCACCGGTTCAGGTGAGGAAATTAACACGTTCGCCTTGGCACTCATCGTCGGTATATTGGTAGGTACATACTCTTCAGTATTCATCGCGAGTCCGATCCTGTATCTCTGGAATCGAGGACAACCGCAACAAGCTTAATAGTTATCGGTTATCAGTTAAAGAGGGACTCTGTAACAATCCACTACTCCCTGGAGTACTCCAAGTTTGGGGAGATTGTTACAAACATCTCTTAACCGACGACTGACGACTGACGACTGACAACTATTCACATATGAAAGTATTAGTCTTAAGTCCTTATACAACGGGGCAAAAATATAAACCCGATAATCTCCTTCGGGGTGAAGATTGCGGTTCGCCTGAGCACCTTGAGTGGCGCATAAAAGAATTGTGCGGTTACAACGATGAGGGATGGTATCATGAGAGTAGAGACTACAGCGCGCCCGCTGGAGAGATGTTTACAGGACCTTTGAATGTCCAATTACGGGCAGGGTTAAAACAAATTCGGGAACACGCTCAATACGGTGAGACAACGCTTGATCTGTATTTTCCGTGGTATGTTTGTCGCGTTGACGGAAAAAAGAGTCCGGTTAACGAAGAAGATGCTATCGTGCCTTTTGATACAGCACCGCTTCATGAGCTTGAGGTTTTAGAATACGATGAGAGTGGTGTACCTGAACGGACGGTGGATTTAATCGAGAGTTACGACCTCGTTTTTTCACTATTGAGACCAGATGATATTCTATCGCTACAACGCGTTTTTGAAGTAGAACGGGCGACAACGCTGATTTTCTTGCTTGCGCGGAGCCACAAGCACGTCGTGAACGAAACATTGCCAAATCTCCACGTTGTTGAAACTGGAAGTGCTTTACAGAAAAGCCTTCGCACCACAAATTGGGCGTTGAAAGGGGTCGTCCTGAGACGGTTGTGTGAAGCCGCCTGTCGTGATGGCTTCGGTGTGTTTGAACAGGTCAAACAAGACCCTCAGCAGTTAATTGAAATTGCACATAATCAGGGCTAAAGTTTGAACGATTTAGGTAGTATTCAGGCATTCCTGTCAAATGCTTGTATGTTATCTCTTTTGAAAAAGGATTGGTATTCTGCTATTACATTTTTTATAAGCACCGCACAGAAAAAGGTGTCGCGATATCATTGCTGGCAGCCCCAGCGGGGCGACATGTCTATAGAAACAGGCATACCTCTCCGCGAAGCCCCAGCGGGGCGACATGTGTGTAAATAACTGTAGATTTCTTTAAATGCTTATGTCAAGCTTATGTTCCATGAAGGTATTAGTTATTACCTCTTGCACAGGTCGAAAAAAACATAAGCCCCCGAACCAACTCAACTATGAAGATTTTGCTTCACCGAAGTGTCTTCACCGGCGAACAGCAGAGTTGAAAGATTTCAAAGTTCCTGCTGCAGAGATGTACACCGGTCAACAACATCAACATCTGATGGCAGGATTGGAAGAAGTTCGGAAGGTTTATGGATCGGCAGTTGTTGATTTACATATAATTTCTGCTGGATACGGGTTGCTTGCTGAAGATGATGTTATTGTTCCTTACAACGTCACATTTTCAGGGCTGAACAAAGGGGGTCTTTTAGCACGTAGCAATCGCCTTCAACTTCATGAACACGTAGCAACCTTAATCTCTGGTTATGACCTCGTTTTCTTTTTATTGGGCAAAGAATACGTCCAAGCATTACAACTTCCCCTTGAAGTTCCAGATACGGTTACCCAAATTTTTCTGCTTGGCACAGGATATAAGAAATTGATTCCTGATTCACCAAATGTCCATTTCGTTCCAGCTGGCAGTGCTTTAGCACGTGAGCTTGGCGTCATGGGTGTTACCCTTAAAGGGTTTGTGTTCAAACAAGTGTGTGATGTTGTCCGTCGTGAGGGATTACAGGTCTTTGAAAAGGTTCGACAGAGTCCACAAGGGATTCCTGACATCGCACTCGCTAACAGATAAACACAACTTTGGATGTTGTAGAAGGGTAAGAAAAGATGAGTCTTCCAATACCTGTTACCAACGATAATTCAAGACGCATTATCGGCGAATCCGCACCGATGCAGGCGGTTTTGCGTCAGGTCGCGCAGGTCGCGCCGACAAAAGCGACTGTTCTCATCACAGGCGAAACGGGTGTTGGCAAAGATGTCATCGCACAGGCGATCCACGAAAGTAGCCCGCGTAAAACCCGACTCTTTAAAGCGGTCAACTGCGGTACGTTTTACCAAGACCTCCTCCAAAGTGAACTCTTCGGTCATGAAAAAGGGTCTTTTACCGGGGCAACGAGCCAACGGCGTGGTGTGTTTGAACAAGCGGACGGCGGCACACTGTTCTTGGATGAGGTAGGCGAAATGTCGCCTGAAGTGCAGGTGAAATTCCTGCGTGTCCTTGAGACACAGGAATTCACAAGACTCGGTGGTGAGAAAAAATATTAAAGTCGATGTCCGAATTATCGCCGCCACAAATATTGACCTTGCGACATCAGTTAGGCAAAAGAAATTTAGACAAGATCTCTACTACCGATTGAACCTTTTTCGTATCCAGATTCCACCACTGCGCGATCGTCGCGAAGATATCCCTTTCTTCGTTTCTGCGTTCATCTCCGAATTAAGCACAGAACACAGTAAACCCATTACCGGCATAACCCAAGAGGCACTCAATTATCTCCAAAATGCTGACTGGCACGGCAACGTTCGTGAACTTAGAAATGCTGTAGAAACCGCTATTATTCTGTCCGCCACTGAAGAACTACAGCTTAAAGATTTCCCCTTGGATTCGGAATCTAAGCAGTTGGTTTCCTTGCTTCCTGTACAAGCCTCGAGCACCCAACTCGCGCCTACGCAGGTGATTGACACAGCCAGTGAAGAAACTGAACTTCTTAATCTGCCAGGAGGCGCATTACAGGTTGTTGATACCTCTGGTAGTGCAATCGTAACAGAAAACATAGCAATTTACAAGACGATCTTGGGGCTTATCCTCTCTGCAATCCGTTTGCTTGATCCAGCTGCTGCCGCAAGCAATGAGATGCCGTTCCTAATCCCAGATGAAGATACCAGTTGGATGCAAATTAGTGAAACGGATGACGCGGCGGACGTTCTCAAAAAAGCATTGGAAGTAATTTCAACGATAGCCAAAGTGCTTGAGAATCGGGCACAGAACGGGATCTTGCCGATCGCTGCACCGGTCGAACAGCACGGTGGTTCACAGGTACCGGGCGAGTATCTACCCGTGCTTGATGACGAACAAGTCATTGGCATGGTCGGTATGACAATGGCAGAAATTGAGCAAGCCGCTATCCAAAAGACCCTCGTAGAAGTGGGGGGCAATAAAACAGAGGCGGCGAAGATTCTTGACATCGGGGTCCGAACACTGCACCGCAAGTTGGACGCTTACAGACAAGAAACCGACGATTCAGATGATAACCTCGGTCAAGCGTAGCATTTGCAAGCCGCTTATTTAAAAATAGGTCTCCACCCTTACGCGAAAACCCTTCAATAACATCTAAAACATTCCCTCTAAACAAGAATAGGAGACTTTATGAAGAAGCTATCTCTCATAACAAAGACATTTGTGGATTCATTCCGCTCCCTCGTTGGCACCGATCTCCGAATCTGCTTTCGCCAGCCAAGACTTCTGCACAGATGTCAGTTTCTTGTGTGTGCTGGTATTCTCGCACTGATTCCGAACGGATTTGCCGCGGATATCCCCGTCTGTTCCGGCATTTCCGGGTGCCGAAGGTTATGGCGCAATGACGCGCGGCGGTAGAGGCGGGAAAGTAATCATGGTGACGAATCTAAACGACACCGGACCCGGGAGCTTGCGCGATGCCTGCGAAGCTGAGGGACCGCGGATCGTCGTGTTCACGGTTTCGGGTACGATTACCCTTGAAAGTCGATTGAGAATCTCCAATCCGTATATCACCATCGCCGGACAGACAGCCCCAGGAGAGGGGTATCTGTATTAAGAAGTATCCTCTCTCAATTAATGCCAGCGAGGTTATTATCAGATATATAAGGGTGAGATTGGGAGATGAATCGGATGCTGATGCAGATGCCATATCAGGCAGGTATCACAAGAACATTATCATTGACCATGTGTCGGCAAGTTGGAGTGTTGATGAAACAGTGTCGATTTACCATTGCGAAAATGTGACCGTTCAATGGTGTCTGATATCGGAAAGTATGTACGACTCTGGCCACGTCAAAGGTACGCATGGGTATGGAGGGATATGGGGGTCAAACTATAGCACGTACCATCATAACCTGCTGGCACACCACAGCAGTCGCAATCCCCGTTTCGCTTCAGGGTGTGGATATAACGATTTCAGAAATAACGTGGTGTACAACTGGGGTTATAACAGTGCCTATGGTGGCGAGAAAGAGCAGCAAGGCAATGAGAAATTTAACTTTACTATTGTCAACATGGTCGCCAATTATTATAAGCCGGGGCCTGCAACACGCCCGGGGGAGATATCACGCCGTATTGTTAATCCGTCATCGCGTGATTCGGACGATGGGTTTGGCAAATGGTATGTTGCCGATAATGTTGTTCATGGCAACCCAGCAGTTACAGCCGACAACTGGGACGGTGGCGTGCAGCCTCAGGGTGGCAGTTCGCATATTGCTGGATTAAAACTTTCCCAACCTTTTGAATCTATGCCTATCAACCAGCAAACTGCTGAAGAAGCCTACTATTCTGTGCTTGAGAGTGTAGGTGCCTCATTGCCCAAACGCGATGCAGTAGATGCACGCATTGTTGACGAAACCCGTAATGGCTATGCGACTTATGAAGGGGAAACATACAAAAGATAAAGCGCGCGTGCCCGATACATCAAAAAAATGCGGTATTATTGACTCACAGGCAGACGTTGGCGGGTGGCCCCAACTCAAAAGCCTGCCTGCACCGCTTGACAGTGATGCAGACGGTATGCCCGACGAATGGGAAAAGAAGTACAAGTTTGATCCTCGTGACGCTTCCAATGCCTCAAGAGACATGGACACCGACGGATACACCAACATTGAGGAATATCTCAACGGCACTGACCCAACGGAGTTTGTGGACTATACCAAGTCCGAGAACAACGTAAACACGCTA